AAACTTTCATGGCTTTTCCCCACTATTACCCTTAAATGAATTATCACAAAAATCCAATTTGCTCGCGCGAGCACACACCGATTCCTGTCTTTCCCCCATCACGCTGTCCCTCCAGTGACTCACTACATCCTCTGTCTTCTGCTGCTGCATAATCTAGTCTTTGACATTGTTCTTCTTTTCCCTTTGAACTGGATTCACCAGAGGAGTGGTTCAATCAAGGTCAGTCTGTTCATCCTTCAGATTATTTTCTTGGTAGTGATTCTGTAATTTAACATCAAATTTGACACAATGAAAAAAACAGTGTTTGTATCTGTGTGCATGTATGTGTCTGTAATGTGCAGGTTGGAAAAAGGGATTATTGGACAGGAAATACGGTACATTGGATTTACCAAAACGTACAGAACAAATGAAAGGTATATACTGTTTACATGTAATATACAACCCACATAAAACACTTTAAATTCCACACAAATGGTTACCGGGATACAACTGTCGTCATGAAATAAGTAGGCTATACCTTGAGCTTATTTCTGATTGATTAAAGCTAGATAGAAAATGAAAAGCGTCATATATCATCATCATCATACAGCACTATAATCGAGCATCAGTGTCCACTTTCTGCGTTATGTTATCTGCTTTGTATGCATGATGTTGGCATGGCCTCAAAGACAATTAATTTAAATGCAAAGTCGCACTCGAGCACCTGCACTACTTGAGGAGAGTTACATCACTAAAACCAAATGACCCTCCAACCAAAATCTGGCAACATGGGGGAACATCATTCTTTGGCAGGAACTGGAATTCTCTCAAGATACTGCCTGACACTGATATATGTATTTATTTGCTATTCCAAAACTATCTTTACCATTTTGTGTTTACCCTGAAGCGGCTGTTTTTAGGCGTGCGTGCATGCATACGTGGGAAAGTGTACTGTGCTGAATACGGTATTCATGTGAGTCCGGCTGCTGTTTGAACAGAGATCAAAGCTACGCTCATGGCCCCCACACTCACAGTCAGTGAATGCAAATCAGTATGTCCAGCATGTTATATTCCCCGATGTACTTGTCAAACGTCCAGCGATCTCTACTGGCTCAGTACAACAACAAAAAACTAACTCTGCAGGGGTCTGACAGAGACGTAATTTTTTTGCCTGTGCTTTCATCATATTCATCAACATATTTGCCTGCCTACCTTATAACACCAAGGAAACTGTGGAGCACTCTCAACCTAATCGTTTTAAAGGATTTAGCCACTGATGGCGATGCAGGAGTTTTACCTCTGCTTGCATGTCATCCCTGACTTTCTCTTCCTCTCTGTTCAAAGGCTTGGAACTGCTGTACCAGCCGGAGGTGGTGAGGCTCTACCTCTCTCTTCTCACCTGCAGTCAGAACCACAACACCCTGGAGGCAGCCGCAGGGGCGCTGCAGAACCTCGCTGCGGGTCACTGGGCTGTGAGTCGATGGGAAAAGTTCTAGTTCTTTTTACACTTTGATCGTGGCGAGCAACCCGAACCCGAAAAAAAGCATCTCTATGAAGCTTAAAATTGATTTAAATAAACTTTAAATCGATTTAATTGTCTAGTGACACATTGCTGGCTCAGTTTATCATCACGGCTGCTGGCATAACGACTTGAAGTGACCAGATTCCTTGGATTTAGACATCTAGAAAGTGCAGAACTTATTTGTTACTTTATATTTACGATATTCATGCGGTGATGTTCGGGATTTTGTAACGGTGGAGAGATAAGTGGCTAATTTAGATTTGAATAATGGCCCCAAAAGACAAATCTCTACTACTCACAAACATCGCTCAGCTGCATTTTTTTGTGTTTGCTCTTGTAGTGGTCCAGCTACATCCGGGCCACCGTGAGGAAAGAGAAAGGACTGCCTATTCTGGTGGAGCTGCTGCGCTCAGACGTGGACAAAGTGGTGCGAGCCGTAGCCATCGCCCTTCGCAACCTGGCAATGGACAGAAGGAACAAAGACCTAATAGGTCCGGTCTCCCGACTCTCCTCTGCGAACACGTGGCTCTGCACCTGCGCACTAACTGTGCCCTGTTGTCTCTCCCGTCCTCTAGGGAGCTACGCTTTGAGGGACCTTGTCGGTAATCTGCCATGTGGGCAGCAGCACCCGGCGAAGAATCTCGAGGGGGATACCGTGGTGTCTATTCTGAACACCATCCACGAGATCATCACGGACAGCCCAGAGAACGCCCGGGCGCTCATACAGGGGCATGCAGTGCAGAAACTGGTTGCCATCAACAAGTCAAGGTACTTGAATGTCTTTTAACCTGTTTGTCAACTACTTTTCGATTGCACACACGTTTGGGAATATGAACGGTATTCCAAACTAAACGGTGAAAAAAAGAAGATCGAATAAAAAACTGCTGCAGCCTTTTAAGAAATAAATACAAAGCCGAAGTTTCAGGTTTTTATTTTGCAGACTTGGGTTAAGTGAAGAGTAAAATCAGTGTTGGTGTTGCAATCGGTTTGTAGAATCAGCCTCGTTGCAGCAGCTCATGATATTATAAGCATCATATCCCAGAGCAATCAGGAAAGGATTTTAATCCACAGGACATTATCGTCTCTGAGCTGTCCTCTGTTGTTTACGACAACGTCTAATGATTTGTCGTCAGCCAAGCAGCTCGGGAGACCAAGGCAGCTTCCCATGTGCTCCAGACCATATGGGCCTACAAGGACCTGAGGACAGCTCTGATGAAGGCTGGTTGGAACAAGAGCCACTTTAAGGTATTTTGTTGCCATTCCCTAGACGTGGCATGCCAGCGCAGACAAAAGGAACGCTTACAAATTCTGTTTGTCATACATCTCTTCGTCTTCCGAAGACCACAACTACTGGAGTGACTAAAAAATCCAAGAGTATAAAGCAAGGCATCGATGACATCACCCTGCCTCTGATGGACAAAAATCAAGGTTAGCAAATCATTGCATGCATTTCCTTATAAAAAATGTTATCAACCATCTAAATGAGTAAAGTGTCCTCTAGCTCAGGGAACAGAACTAGCCGTGGTCCTTGTCATGTCAGGGACAAAGAAATGGGCCTTTTTCTGTCCCAGACCATATTCTTCTGTAACGTAGCCGTAAGCCAATGATGTGCTGCCAAGGTTATCAGGTCAGAGGCTTGTCTTATTAGCCTGAACACGCTCTCCCAGAGGCAGAGCAGGCCCACGCATCACCGGTCACATTTCATCTGAACGCTGTTCCGAAAGGGCACCAGCTCCCCCACGCCAAGAGCGACCTCTAGCTTCCAAAGAAAACATGAATTTTCTTTTGTTTCTTCATGAATTGAGACATAACCTTAACACCCGTTTGAAATATTAATTTGGGTAAATGGGTGTGAACTATGTCTCGTACTGGTATTTCAGTCTAATTTAATAGCATTCTTAATGTGAGGCTTTGATATCTTGTCTCAGTGAAACATGGTGGTGACGGGATGACGTGCTTGCTGGAGACAGCAGTAGATGTTTTTTTATTTAAGAGTTTTACCGTGAATTGTTTTGGAATCGTGCACTTTGAGTGAAATGCTCAAAAATAACTCAAAAAATGATTCGTCTTTCCAAAAGCAGACTTATTTACAGAGGTTTTAGTAAAAGTGATGATTTGCATCTTTTTTGTTTTTCTCATTGTATTTATAGACGCTCCTTTTCCATGTTACCTACAGCGAATATCATTATAATTTTCCCTCAATTTAGAGCCAAATGACAGAGCTGGAGATGGAAAAGGGCCGGTTGTGGAAAGAGACACTCTCCAGGTAATCTTTTGACGGCACTGAATTAGTTCACATTTTACGGGCATTGAGCACAATCAGAAACTGTAGCCGTTGTTTAACAGGATTTTGTTGTAAACCATTACTTTTCAGTTATTCAAATTCAAATCGTCAATTTCATTCATGCAAATTGAACCAACACAATCTGTTTGCATGTTTCTCTACCCAGGCGATAAGTGAGAGAAAACACTTCATCAGAGCTGGCAGACCCGCAGTGGGCCTCATGGATAACAAACCTCCACCACTGGACTCCTGGGTGTGAACACAGCAACGCACAGCCAGTGGAGCCGGTTAAATCCAGTAGAGACACTTTCCATTGGCGAAATACAGATTTGTGCAATTTGCTCATTCTTGTACAGACAGACAACGTGTTCAATTTAAAATAATTTCCTTTATTCACTGGGAATAATGTGCTAAACAGTTACATGTATTTATTAGGGAGGTTATTTGGCAAAACATTTAATAGAACTTGTTATTTAGGATGGTATACTGTATGCCTGAGCCTCATGATGGATTATGTACGACATCTGAATCAGCCTAAATATGCAAACCGTGGTGATTCATGACTCCAAAGAATATATGACATGTACAATTTAAATTCTACTGTTATTTACAAGTATGAGATCGTTCTTACAAGGCCTAAGATGACATGTGGATCTGTTGTTGTCCATCCCCATGGGTTCTGGGCTAGAGCATTCTGATATCATTTGAATTTAATAATATTTTGGTGAGTATTTGAGATAATTAGAGTTAGGCTTCTACTATCAACCTAGCCTAACCAGCCGAAAACAAACAATTTATTTTGAATTCAGTTTATTCTAGATAAACTGCCATTAGACTAGACGGTGCAGTCATAAGCAAATCTTTTTGTTCAATGATAGGCGGGACGGGATTGTAAATGTGTAACAAAGGACTGTTAATATTTGAAATGAAGGTATTTATATTGTAATATTTATTGTAATACCCATGTTATTAAATAAGGTTATTGATGTGCATTAGCTAGTACCGGTAAGTGATCCTACATTCTATAACACTCTGCTTTGCAGTGGTCCTTTTTGCATTACGATGTTGAATGAAAAGTCAAAATAAATGACGTGCATCATTTCTCACTTTCATTTCTATACTCTTTTTCCAATACAGACTAGATATTTATTTATTTAACACTAGATTATACAGCATTCAAACGGAATTCCCCACTTCTTCTTCTTTTGATAACTAAGTTTATAACAACACATTTTCCCTTCGATTCACTGCTCTCCCCTGGAACCGTTTGAAGGGCCCCTGATAGAACCCCCCCCCTCGCACTTTGAAAACCTCTTTGCTGCATGTTCCATGTACAACTAGACAAGCTGTCAAGACACTCACATAACGGCATATAGCCGTGAGGCCTGATTATGAACTTCATGTGTGGCGCACGCAACCACAGAGAGGACTGAAACGCGTTGCCGTTAGTCACGTTTCCTCGTGCAGGCTGCAGGCCTCACTCGCACACGTGGTGGCATTTTAGATACACAAGTACTGTGCGTCCATAGATATACACATTCATCATTTGCATGTCAGACATGCAGCACTGTGGCAGAATAGTCTCGTGTGATAAGCATGTTTGTTTTTAAGTCAATTATGTATTTCTTTAAATAAGCAATGACTGCATGTATGTCTGTCAGGCATTATTAGAAAACATAACCAGTAGGCATATGAAAAGGAGATTAGCTGATTTCTCATCCTGATCATCTCATCCCCTTCAGCACCAAATAAAAAGTTTGACTAAATTTAAGATGAGAAGGCAGGAGATAGTGAGTCTGCGCTGCTGTCTTGTGGAGATTGCAAACCATAAATTAACTACACTGTTAATTGATAATGGAAAAATGGCACAACCTAATTCCCAAATGTTTAACTCCTCACACTTTTTGGTGAATATAGTTGCAATAACTTTCCGCTCAAACTAAAGTATCATGGTTATATCTTTTGATTCCGGCATTGTGCCACATAAAGAAGGCAAATGACAAATCAAAAGCAAACATCACAATGAGACAGAATATCAGTGCCGATGATTATGGACAGCCATGATTTCCTGGTGGGGAGAGAGAGAGAGAGAGAGAGGAGGGCCGAGCACGGCCTCGGTGACATCTCCAAACATGTCAGCACAGCACATTGGACGGCACAGCCCTGCCCTCAGAACCAAACCTCAAGATCACCAAAGGGCAGAGCTGTGTTCTCTCTGCGCCAAGCAACCTGTTGTCCTTCAGCAAAGAAGAGTCCTCGCTCGGCCGCTCGCAGCCATCCTCTCCAAAGGATCTCTTTGCGTCTTCTCGTCTGATACTCAATATTTTGGATTTTAGGCTTTCCTCCGCCCCGCCATGACCATCTCAGCCTTCTCCAACCATGGGTTTTTTCGCTCCGTCAACGTCCTGCTTCAGATTTTGATCGGTTTGAGCCTGAGCAGCCCCATCAGGTCCCCCGAGAACCATCACAGGGTGTCAGTCGCTGTGGGTGAAAATCCGCTACTTGATGCGCAGGACTTTCTGAGCCAGTTTCTGTCCACAGTGAACCAGACAAGGCTGAGGCCCCGGACCAAGCCTCTCGCCGCTCCTAAGGAGCCACCAGAGTACATGCTGGAGCTCTACGACCGATTTGCCTCTGACCCCACCGCCGTGCCCTCGGCCAACGTGGTGCGCAGTTTCAAAAATGAAGGTACAACATTGGTTTTGTTTGACACTAAAAGTCTTTTTTTTATTGAGCCGTAAAGTCCCTCAAAGAATTGCAGGGAGCTTGTTTGACAGTCTGATAACTTAATGGTGGAAAAATGTTGATTACTTTGATTGATTTTGATATAGGGAGGTCAGGGAAGTCAGCGTTTACCATTTCTGAGTATTATGATGAAAATAAACAACATTTCCGTGTATTTAAAATTGTGCATTTTAATATTTAACCGCCAAAGTGCATTTACACACACTTTTTGTTCTTTTTTTGATTTCAGAATCCTCCCCCGGCAGTGTAACGGCCAGGGGCGTAAGGATATTCCCCCTGCTCTTCAACCTCTCAATAAGCCACGACGAGCACATAACCATAGCTGAGCTTCGCCTCTTCACCCTGTTCCAGAAGGCCCAAAGGCCACATGCTGGCATTGACTGCAAGGTGACCATCTACAAAATACTCAAGGACGTCGTTTGGACTAAAGAGGTGGGGAACGAAGGGAGACGGAGGGATAAAGAGGAGGTGGTGGAGATGGAGGATTGGGAGGAACTGGTGACAAAGTATATCCGTGCCAAAGATAACAGCTGGGTGTCGTTTGATCTGACTCATGTGGCTGCACTCTGGCGGAAGTCAGGGAGTGCGACTCACCGACTCGAGGTTCACGTTGCAAGTCTGGGGTCAGAAGAGGAAGGGGCCAAACAAAGGGTCACAGAGCAGGCCGAGACGTTGGCTGAGCTCGATGTCGACAGGAGCCTGGAGGGGAGACACAACGCGGTGATCATCGTGTTCTCGGATGATCAGAGTAGAGACCACAAACGGGACAAACAGGAGCTCAACCACATGATTACGCACGAGAATGACCTTCCTGGAAACGCGGCCCGGAGCCAACAAGCTTTCTGGGGGCACCTCAATCACAACGCCGGCCGCGGCTACCATGACGACTGGGACAAACAGTCTCTCGTGCAACTGCAGTCCAACCTTATCTACGACACACCTCCCCGAATCCGTCGCAATGTTAAGAGCGAGTCGTGCAAGAGGACCCCGCTCTTTGTGGATTTTAGAGAGATCGGCTGGGATAGTTGGATCATCCAACCTGTGGGCTACGAGGCGTATGAGTGCAACGGCGTGTGCAACCCACCAATGACCTCCGAGGTCTCGCCTACCAAACACGCCATAGTGCAGACGCTGCTGAGCAATAAGAGTCCGGAAAAAGTGTCACGGGCCTGCTGTGTGCCCACCAAGTTGGAGCCTATCTCACTCCTTTATCATGAAAACGGGGTGATCACGTTCAACCACAAGTATGAGGGGATGGTGGTGGCGGAGTGCGGCTGTAGATGAGAACTATTACGCAGAGATAGAGACTGTGCACCCATCGTTTCAATCGTCATCTCCGAAACACTGCGATCTATCTAGCTATCTTCTATCTTATCATGTGCTTGTTTCCGCAGCACGGTGTTGTATAAAAAACACGAGTCTAGAGTAGTTTTTAATTAGAAATCTGTGCTACAGGATGTACATTTGTAATTGTATAAAGGTAAATCGTTTTATGTTGTATTAGTGTAGAATATAAAGCCGTTTGTCATGATTTATTGTATTTATTAGCAATTATTTTGTATTTTAGGATGCTTTTTTTTAATAAGTTCTACAATTCATTGTCAATCACAGGCCATATTCTTGCACATATTCTTGCAGATGTGGCTTCAGTTCTGTATGACATAGTGAAAAAAAAGAAAGATTAAATTTAAACATTCTGCTAAAGATTTCTCTGCAACTTGTTTCTGATGAAATGAGCTTATTGTCATTTGCGACGAGTCAAAGGGTTCAGTACTGCAGCACTTACAACAGTAAAAGTACTTAATTTGAACATGTGTGTGAGAGATCTAAGCACAAAAGATGTACCCTCAGTGCCCAGTTTCAATCTGACAAAAGTGAAGTTTTCTCACATCATTCAAAAATCCAAATGCATCATCGCTGACTTTTTATCACAAACCTTTGTCAAACATTCTTTTTTCAGCTTATTCAAAAAGAATAGAAAAATCAACAAGATTGAAATGATTTGCACTACTTATAGAATGCTTTTTTTTCAAAGGAAAATTCTCTTAAATTGTAATTGAATGACATGCTTGCCAACACGATTCATAGTTGAATACACTTGCTGCAGATTTGTAAATTATATCTTTGAGCCCTGTCATATGTTGGAGCCTTTGAAATGACTTATAGCATGACACGCATTTCCTCATTTCTGCTTGCCAAACTTGAAAAGAAAATGTATTTTCCTCTGTCTTTTCACCGGGAGAGGATTTTCACAGTATCACTGAGCTCTCCCAGGCTGCTTGTCTGAACAATTTCTCGCACCAAACATCTCTGTCAAGCGCTGTGAAATCTTTCCTCACACCCAAGCCGTTCGTAGGCCGCTTTTTGGTTCTCGCACCAATATTAATGTTACCATGCTTGTAAAAATAAAATACCTGACGTCTAAAATAGTCCCGGAGCAAGTTGTGATCTCTTGTCTCAAACCCATGTGTCATTGTCAGGTAACCGTAACAACCTTAACCCCCCCCGCCTCCTCTCGCGTCACATGCCTGGCGGGCCTCTCTTCGCGTCCCTCCATGCCGCGGTGATAACGAGGTGTCAGAGCCTGGAGTCTTGTAGACCGTCACTCAGAGACGAGGAGCCGCTCCAAGTGGCAGCATTTGTGAGGTGAGCCGGTGTCAGATTCCAGGTCTCCAGCGCCAACGTGCTCTAATGACACGCCGGCCGCCAGGTTGCCCGGTGCCCTCTGAGGCCTCCCGCTTCCCACTTCTGACACGGGCACGCTGAGCGCCCTTATCGCGACCTCGGCAAACACACAAATGGAAAAATGACATGTGGCATCGCCACCTCGCTTCTGCTGTTAACAGTCGGAAGCAGATAACGATGACGGAATAACACTGTTGAACTTTCAAACTTAATGGGATCCTCAGTCGGCACACAGATTTACACAGGCCGAGTGTGCAGCGCGGAGATATCCACTGGCGGTGAACAAATTGATTTCTCGATTGAATTCTTTGTTTATTATGGCTTGCTGTTATTTTGGGAATGTACTAAAGATGTTGGGGTGAGAACAAATGGATGAATATCAAATCTAATTTGATACGAAGCCATGACTCTAAGTATGGAACTGCTCTGTTGCAACACAGTGCTAACAGTGCTTTAGTAAACTTATTTAAAAATGTATCGTCCAAACAAGTGAATGCATTTAAAATGTATATGTTCAATACTACATAAAAATGACATTCATTTGTTTGATGAAATACATTAACAAAATTTGTATTCGTCAAAACCTTGGTTCATGCGTAAGCATTTTACACTTACATTACATTACATTTTTTTATACAAAGCGACTTTCAATAAGTGCATTTCAGAACTGCAACTCAGAAGAACAAGAAAGTGCCATTTCATCAAATAAGCCGATTTACAACTTGCTATAGATAAGAGCCATTATAAGTCCAATTGAAGTGCTACAATTTAGTGTTTTTTATTCGAGCTATAGTCTGAAGATGTGTCTCTTTTGTATTGCTTACGGTATATTTATATTTATTCCATTGATCATGGTACATTACTATCTGGGTTGTAGTTTCCTTAAGAGTAGAGAAGACCAAGATCAAAATATTGATAAATAGTTTCCCTGATGAAAATGCAACAATACAAAAGCTGCTTTTTCTACATGAGTACATAAGTTGCTTTATGTAACTCTCACAGGGTCAATGACATCAACACGGCTGAGCAGGTTTGGCCCATGGGAGCTTCACTCTTAAGCAATAGAGCTAACTTAACCCTTCTATTCATAGGAGGCCAACTATAAATCCAAACACATAATCAAATTGGACAGGGAAGGTTTTTAAAATTTAGATTATGTCCTACTATGCTATAACCACAAGGTGGTGACTTTATGTCAAAATAAAATCTCTCTCTTGGCAAGTTTTTTGTGGCGCAATATTCTTTCCATTCTGTAATAATTGCTTCAACTGTGTTCCGTTAGACCATTTGAAACTAACACCTAATTTAACTTATTATGTGATATGTATGGGCTAATCCAGTAGCACCTGATTTAATTCAGGGGCTATGTAGATTTAGATTTCGAAATGGAAGAGACATGACAAAACATGAAAATTCATTACAATAAAAGAATAAATTAAAACCATAAAGTGCCATAAGGTGCATGGATAACATGGGAAAGGTATTCAAATCCCTAAAAATATAATTAAAGGTGTTAATTATTCTGACTGCTTCCAGGATGAAGGATAATGTTCTATACGGTTCTATAATTACTTCTCATCGTATTGATTTACTTGATTTATTGGTAATGCAGCGGCGTAAAAGAGGACACTAGCTATGATCCGCCGATAAAAAAGGTGAAGAATGTCTTTGCTGATGTCAAAGGACCTTAGAAGGAAGGACCTCAAGAAGATGAGTAAGAAGTACTAGATGTGGTTAAATTGTATTAAAAGCACCTAGAAAGATGGCTGTAAAGCACAAAAAAGTAGTGCATCATCTACTCCCACATCTTTCCTGTGTGCAAACTGGAGGGGATCTTGGAAGATTGAGACCAGTCTGGTCAGGTGATCAAGGGCAACCTTTTCGAAACGTTTTGTTATTGGATTCAGCACCAAACCTGTAAAAGAACACGTTTACATCATGTATGGATGCATGTGATTGATTCGGGGCTTTTGATTCATTCTCCTATCTGAAACGACAACAACACGTTGCAACCACGCCTGTCACGTGTCACGCGTACATGCGCAGTTGGATTGTGGTGGGTGGGGATATTTTTTAATGTTTACTTTCGTGGACAGTTAACCTTAAATGTGTTGGGATATTATTAATATGTATTTTTTCCACACAGTTCTACTTTGATTTGGACTACACATACACGGGTACGCACTTAACTGTCATGCCGTTGTAACAGTTCACGAGGTAACGGATTTGGGCGTTTATAGAAGGTTGAAGTTGATGGCTTATAGCGTTAGCTAAGTTAGCTGTTAGCGCATCTGCTAGCAGGTTAGCCTAAATATCACCAGCGCACCATAGCATACGCTAGGGACTTTTATCGACTGTTAAGTAGCTGAAGCCACTCTCTCATCACCTTGGACAACTTTATCAACGCTGCGGCCCGAATAGATCAGCAAGTCCACAGTACGTTCGTGTTGAGGTAACGTTTGCTAATGTTAGAGGACGAACGAGCTAACGATTGATTTCGGTGTGCTGCGGAATGCCTGGCAATTGCTAATGCCATCACGTCCACTTAACGTTAGCCGAGCAGTGTTATTTAGCTTAATACTCCTCAAAATATGTATGCATTTATTTATACAGTCGCATGCCGAGCAGTATAATTTGGGCCTGGCTGGGTTTGCACACTAAGCTACTGAGACAATGTTGGTAAATATGCGCTAACGTTACCCGTAATACTTAACGTTAGCTTAGCTATCGCATCTGGGCTAACATTAGCTAACTGTTGCGTTTGCTGTGAAACCTACTTACCAAATGTTTATTTATCTTAATTTTATTATGATAACCAAACTGTCTTGATAAAAAAAACAGTAATTTGTCCCATGCGAATATATATATATCTATATATATATATAGATATATATATATTTAACTTTTAACCTTTATAACCTTTATTTAACGGTATCGTTATGTTTGCCCAGGACGTAACGTTAACTTATGCTTGAATCAGCTGTTAAAAATAAAAGTTAGCCGAGTTGTCATCGCATTTTACATTATAATACCTGAAAGATATGTATATCTGTATATATTGGGAAGTTTTTCTAAAAATATTTTCTCTTCCAACTGTGGCTGCTGTTCTTTTACTGTAAAGGTACTTTAGTTTGGCTTTAAAGATGATAGAATAATATGATAAATGGAGGCTCGCTTTTTGGGATCATAATGGATGTAAATGAATGGTTGGCATGCTATCTGAACTCAGACTTTCTCGTTTAGGTTGGCACGGTGCAGTCCTCTCCCCCCCTCACACACAAACCAGTAAAGGCATAAAAGATACAACTTAAACATCTCCCACAACCACAGGAGAAAGATGTCAATCACAAACACACCCACAAGTAATGACGCCTGTTTGAGCATCGTGCACAGCCTGATGTGCCACCGGCAGGGAGGGGAGAGTGAAAGCTTTGCCAAGCGAGCCATTGAGAGTCTGGTGAAGAAGCTGAAGGAGAAGAAAGATGAGCTTGACTCCCTCATCACAGCCATCACTACAAATGGAGCTCATCCTAGCAAGTGTGTGACCATACAGAGGACTTTGGATGGACGCCTACAGGTAAAGCAGCAGAAATGCAGTGCCACGTCGGTCTGATAGTGTGCTCCTTGTAATCGTAAGAGAAAGCAATAACTATCTCGTTGCGTCTTTATCGCTCTGCTTTAGGTGGCCGGGCGCAAAGGTTTCCCCCATGTTGTCTATGCCCGACTGTGGCGATGGCCTGATCTACACAAGAATGAGCTAAAACATGTGAAATATTGCCAGTATGCCTTTGACTTGAAATGTGACAATGTTTGTGTCAACCCCTACCACTACGAGAGGGTCGTCTCTCCAGGCATCGGTAAGACATAACATTGTTTTAGATTTTAGAGAAATTTAGATTTATACTTAAGGATTGTATGGGTTCATAAAAATATTTAAAGGAATGATTTAGCACCTTATACAGTTATGTTGAGAAAAATCCAACTCATGTGATTTACTGATTGAGGGACGTATCTTTCTCCCACGTCTTGCAGATTTATCAGGGCTGACACTTTCCAGTTCAGGTAAGCAGGTCCCAAAGTTTTCCTGTTTGCTTGTTAAAAATGTTGTGGATATCTTTTTAGTTTGACCCTTTGTCTGCTATCATCACGTAGTTCCCCTCCTGGTCAAGGATGAGTATGACTATGACAACCAGCAATCCCACTCAAGCTCTGAAAGCCACCTGCAGACCATCCAGCATCCCCCGTCAAGGCCTAGTCCACATGACACCTTCATCAACCCCGCTCTGCTGCCCCTGTCGGAGGGCGGCGGTTCAGCCTCAACCTCCGCTTTCTCCACCATCAGCGCTGGACCCTCAAGTGAGACACAACATAGCGGCTTACATATATACGCAGGACATTAAATATTCACTCTCTTTGAAATAATTCAATTAAAAAGTGCAAGTAGATATAGGTAACAAAACTATTTTTATTGTCTTTATTCACAGATCCCAACCCCAGCTGGAGCAGAAACAGCAGCTTCTCCCCCGCAGTGCCACAGCATCAAAATGGGCATCTCCAGCATCATCCCCCCATGCCTCACACAGGGCATTATTGTGAGTAAAAATAGTCCTCATCCTTTCTGTTATCAGATAGAATCTTGATAGAGGATTTCAGTGTAAGTTGATCGTTGAATTGTTTGTTAAAAATAACGTCGACATGTTATTGCAGGGCCTGTTACCAACGAAATTGCCTTCCAGCCCCCCATATCCAATCACCCCGGTGAGCATTGAGCTGCAGCTGAAAGAAAATCTACATTTTTAATGTATGTGTAACCAATTTGACCTGTGGTGGTCTCTTACAGCTCCAGAGTACTGGTGCTCCATTGCGTACTTCGAGATGGATGTCCAAGTTGGGGAAACCTTTAAGGTGCCGTCCACGTGTCCGATAGTGACCGTGGACGGCTACGTTGATCCTTCAGGAGGGGACCGCTTTTGCTTGGGTCAGCTGAGCAACGTCCACAGGACAGAGAACATCGAGAGAGCCAGGTACCACCCCCACGTACTGGGAGATAGATCTTCATATTGAACCGTCAAGCAATTTATATTGACTAAATATCGTAGATGTGATGGAAGATTCATAGAAATGCCCCCCCCTCCACCCTCCTGTCCTCTCCTCTCTTTTCTTGTTCTAAGGCTTCACATTGGCAAAGGCATGCAGTTGGAGTGCAAAGGGGAAGGAGATGTCTGGGTGCGCTGCCTGAGTGATCACGCAGTGTTTGTGCAGAGCTACTACCTAGATCGGGAGGCCGGACGCGCCCCCGGAGATGCAGTTCACAAGATCTACCCGAGCGCCTACATCAAGGTGACATTGCAGTGCAATGGTCATTCAATGAAAAGCACAACAATCCAGTATAATTCCAAATAGCCAATTCTTGATTGCTCTCTGCATACGTTTACAGTTCATGCACGTCAATAATCCTCAAGTAAAACGTATGTCTTGTTCCCTTTTTGTAGTCGTGTTGTTCAACAGAATTTGTACCTCTGATGCCATTTGACAGTGAAAAAGCTTCAGTCTCCATGGCTCACTTTTGGTCATACTCTAGCATTTGTCTTGTCCCCTGGCAGGTGTTCGACTTGCGGCAGTGCCACAGGCAGATGCAGCAGCAGGCGGCGACGGCTCAGGCAGCAGCTGCAGCCCAGGCGGCGGCGGTGGCCGGAAACATCCCCGGGCCCGGCTCTGTGGGAGGCATCGCCCCGGCCATCAGTGAGTGTTCACACTGCTGCTCGTACTCTTCATCGAGTGTATTATTATCGGGATCAAGAGAATTACAGAGCAGCATAAACGGAAGTAAAAACCAGCAGTGCCTGGTAATGATACAGGAAAGAAAAACTGGTGCGCTGGCTGTATCTTCTTTGTTGAGGGTTATTTATTCAGCATTTTTGCACCAACTTTAAGAGTTGTAATCTCATTTCATTTCATAATGTGTTGATCTTGAGGATTATAACTACTTACTCTACTTTACCAATGTATTGGCTGTTAGAACAAAGTTCCACACAGCTAACGTCATTGCAGGCTGTACATAAGGAACACATTCTCGGTGGGCTTTAACGCTAATGCAATGACGCACGCATGGGCTGGTCGGAGTGGGAGTTATGCATCTTCCAGTAGCATTTTTCTACTCTGCTGCGTGTCTGTTGCACGACATCGATCTGAAAGTCAATGACTGTTAATTCCCCTGCAGGTCTGTCTGCTGCTGCAGGCATCGGGGTGGATGACCTGCGCAGGCTGTGCATCCTGCGTATGAGCTTCGTGAAGGGCTGGGGGCCCGACTACCCACGGCAGAGCATCAAGGAGACCCCCTGCTGGATCGAGATCCATTTACACCGGGCTCTCCAGCTGCTGGATGAAGTCCTGCACACCATGCCCATAGCTGACCCGCAACCCCTCGACTGAGCAGAAAGAAAAGAAAACAATGAGGCTGTAATTTTTAACAAACCCCTCCACCTACAGGCCGGGGGTGCCAAAGGAGGACTGCGGCGGCGGGGATGCTGAGTAGGTTGTAGAAGCATGAACAAGGACTTAAAAGGACGGCGGTAAACCCGCTGCTTTTGAAATCCGGATCTACAAGCAGTTGTATACAGAGTGAGACTCCAGGTGTGTGAATGACAATGACTTTCAGACAACAGCGGGATGAACATGTAAAGTCCACCGGGAGGAGTGGTAGTACTCTGGAAACATGCTGCCAAGAGAATGAAAAAGGTCTAAAAGCCCCATCAATTACTAAATCAGCCTTGGTGCAATACAAATGTAATTTGTAACTACAAGAGTGTAAATCATGCAATGATTCACACTCAGCCAGTACAGCAGTCTTTTTCTCGTACAGACAATTCAACCCGTATGATTTTACGACCAATATATCCCTCGTGAACTTGCTGATAATATTCCATATTCCTACTATTTAGTAATAGGAGGGCAAACCAGCCACGCTGCGCACAATGAGATGCCTTGTGTTGGATGAAGACCTGTCTGAACATGCTAGGTGTCGTTTCCAGTCCTCCTCCATTGGCTCTCTGGTGCTTCTGTGGCTTCATGTAAGTTTTTCGCCCCGCAAATTGGGCCGTCTATGTAAAATCATATAAATCATATTAATCGTTACTCATGTTTTTGTAAGATCTAATCTTAGATATCTTTCATTATTGTTTGATGGTTCTTATTTTTGTATTACCTTTTTGAATAGTGGTTTTTACTGATACTGACAGCATTCAGCTTAGCTCAGCTTCTCTTTTTCAACTTTTCAACACCATAAAATGAAAGATAATGAGATTGAGAATTTACAATTTTGTATCGCTAAAATCAGATAAAGGTTATTAAAACCTGTCCTAATATTATTTATAATTGTCTTTTTATATTAGATGCCCAAATAGTGTCCATTAGCACTTTTATTAATTTGTGAAGAAAATACTTTGTCTTGTTTTATAGTCTCATGCATGGCCACTAGTGGTACCTTTTATCATGTCTAGTTGAAAGATTTTTCTTGCTAATGACCTACATTAATTAAATCTAGATTAAAAATGTCTAATTAAAATCTGTTTTCCATATCAAACACTTTGCCACTGCAGGGGTAAAAGGTACATTTAGCTCAATTCTGGCAAAATGATGTCGATATAAAACTTATCGAGTTGTGGATCAAGAATGGTTTATGAAATTAGAAAACTTACCGCAGGTTTTCTAGACAGCAGCTGAGTTAAGGAAGTAACTGTGAGGAACTGTAAGCCATATTGACGCCAAATATACCGTTTGAAAAGTGGAAAGATTCTCAGACTGCTGTCGTTTCATCGTAATGTTGCTTAGAAAAGTGGTTTTAATTCTCGACTGAATGATTTCAGTCTTTGCTCTGCACAAATCCATTTTGGTATTTGGAGCTATGTTTACCTCCAGCTGTTGCAATATTTTTTTATCTCCTTGTTACCTTTTACAGTGACAAACCACAAAAATATTACTGTACAATTTTCAGGAAATGCAATTCATGCTCATCATAATCTTAACATGGTGTCAAGCATTTTGAACATGTACGCGGCTTGAATGATATTGGTGTCTATATGTATACGATATAGTATGGTTGAATAAAGTTCAAACCGTTGTGAAATGTCCTTGTTTTGAATTCGACCAGTGTGTAGAGCTCAAATGAGAGAGGACTCGTGATCTGAACAAGAAAACGTTTATTACTGCAAAGACGAATCACAAATTTTAAGAAAACAACACTAAGAAGCTAGCCTGAGCTGAGATCTGAAATATTCAGAAAACCAAACTACATGTGTCTTTAATAGTTTCTATATTCATCAATACGACACACTAAATGATAATGTCTTTATAAATATAAAAGTCCCCCAACTGTCCTTTTTTGTATGTAAAATACACCATTACAAATCACCCTACACGCATTGGTTCGCTTGTCAATTTGAGAAGTAACGTAATTGCACACAAAAAGAGTCACATGAAATTTGTGTGTATATATTATATCAGATATTATACATTATCCAAAAAAAGCACAAAAGCACTTGAGCAAACATATCCGATAAAATGTTCACCAAAAGAATAAAATGAAATAATTAAGACACAAATAAATATACCTTTTTCTCAGATTTTGATATATACATATTTTGTCTCAGGGAGAACAAAAACAAAAAAACCTTCCCCAAATGCCACTGCCAAATGCTTGTGCTTGCATTAGAGCGTGCTACAGCTGGCCACGACTCACTAGACTGTCAAATGGCACTTGAAAACATCCAAATACGAATCTCAAACGGGTCACAGCATTCAGAGAATATCATCCGACAAAAAGAAATTACGTCCATGGGAAAACAATTCACAAGAGAGCGTCTTACTTACAGTAACTCACCTTGTTCATCAAGTTCTGTACAATAAAAAGCCGCCTGCAGTCAACCTACCGTCTGTAAACAACTAAGTGTGTGTGTGTGTGTGTGTGTGTGTGTGTGTGTGTGTGTGTAGGGTTCCTTATGGAGTCACATCCAGTAAATAAATAGTCCAGTCTGAAGACAGGTCTTTACGCTTCCCTGTTGTCTTCTCAATGGCAGCACCTGTGCAATGAAATGTCCCCTCGGCCTCTATCTGTAGCCCACCAGAGACCCAATAGTCGCCCCCGGGCCATCTGCTCTGGCCGGGGCGAAATTAAAAAGGCACTGGAGTCTGCTATGGGTCAGTGAAGCTGCCGCGGCGTCCAGGTGATGAAGCAACTATGACCAGTTAGGGAATAGCTTATGTCTTTTTCTTTTCTCTGGTTTGGAAATGCACTCCTTTCAACAAAAGCAAAAAAAAACAACAAAAAAGCCGTTACGGAAACAATCTTACTTCTTAATTTTACAAAAAAGTACAATTGTGTTGGCAGCATTAGCATCGGTCCAATGTTCACCAGGCAGACGGAGATGCAGAAAGCGAAAATCACTGTCTGGCACACATTAACTAAAATAAAATTGAGCAGCTCGACCAGAAAGCACTTGATGATCCTAAAGCACACAATTAAGATTTAAAGAAAACATTTTAAGCCATTTTCACGTCAGGCACAAAATAATACAAGTTTACGTCCACAATGTTGTACTTGATTTATATGACATGGGAGCATAGATTTGTTAAAAAAAAACAAAAAGAGGTTCAGTGAGAGAAAGGTAAACAAATGATCTAGCACAACCGTCCTAATTGGGACACAATATCCAGTTTTAGAACATAATCAGAACGTTGACGGAACAACATCGCCTATTTCATCAGTTCATGTCAGAAAGTCAGCCAACTGCGCTCTTGGGAACGCCGTTCATCATGTCACAGTTATCACGAGAAGCTCCGGAGAAGGTTCTGCACAAGGCGTGAGTTAGGGGGCTCGGGGTTTTGTACGCAATTATTTTGGTGTTTGGAACTTTTCTCCACGTTCCCCAACTAGCGTTTGACAGTTCCGGGAGTTGGAGAGAAAACGAGAGAAATTCCCGCAGGCCTTCGACTCCCAGCTACTTAAAGCTCATTGGCTCTCTGAAACTCTTCTTTAAGCGATATAATAGAAAAGACAGATTTCGGGGGTTTGGGCTACAGTGCGCTGCGTACTCAACTTTTTCAACATCCGTGAGATTCCACTGACCGAGAAACCTAAATGGCGTGCAGTACTCTGGGGAGGGGGGGGCCCTCGCGTCCTCTACGTAGGTTTTCCACACAGACACAAAGAGCTTTAGTGTCTGAAGGGATCGTTGACTAGTGATGGAACAACAAGTGGTTACAGAAAATACAGTGCCATCCCTTTTTTCTTCGTTCTTCACCTTAATAAAGACAAAAAACTAAACAAAACAACAACTCATGGTCCTCCTTTACAGTAGGTCTGCCATTGGCAGTGGTATAATTTGTGATCCATAAACAGTCCCCATTAGAATATGGTGTAACGGGTGAGCATCTAAACCAAAACACAATAAATATCAATAAATAAACACTTCTGCAGAGAAATCGTGCAGACCAACAAGCATGATAAAACAATAACAAAAATCATTTTAGTTACAAATTGTTCCTATTTAGAGGATTAATCTCAATAATCTCCACAACATAGAATGTTAGAACAGTTCAAGTATCGATGTTGTCTAATGAATCAGAAGTTAGTCCCCATGTCGTTCCCAGTCATTTCACAGTCTATGAACTAATTACAGAAGAGCTACGAAAAGAAACAATCACACATAAAGCGAACGAATCAGGTGTATCATTGTATATACTATACATATATTTATATATATATTTTTTTCTATATATCTCTTTGAATATCACAAAATATCTACTTTTGGTCCACTGTACGAAGATGATCTTTAAAACAGGGAACAAAGGAGGAAAGCGGGCTAAAAAACAAAATGGAAATGTATCAGAGGTGAGAGAAAAGCAAGCAATGCCGGTTTTCTCTATCGCGTTGAGATTTGTGCAGTACAGTGGTGTGTGTGTGCAATAAGGTTTGGTGACTGTGCTGCACGCGTCAAAGGGCTGGCACCACTGGTTTGAGGTAGGGTGACTGATGGATGTGTTTCAACACACACACACACACACACACACACATGCATGCACGCACATACACACACAGAGAGAGGCTTATATACACACACGTGTACGCACGCACATAAAAACACTTACTCACACACACACTTCACCCGATAACAAAGGCTAATGTAAGAGTAGGCCTCAAGAGGGCAGAGTGAGGACAGGAGAGCAAGGCCAAAGGCCGAGATTCAGATAAGTGAGAAGATCCTCTGGGGGAAGGGAACGGGGGGGTCTCGACACCAACGAGGCGGCCCAAATCCAGCCACCGCTCACCAGAAAGCCAAATTTGTGGCTGGGACAATGCAAAAAGGGGGGGGCCTGTGGGCTCTCTGCAGCACACAGTCAGGACTACGAGGACAGCTGCATTATAAGGATAAGGCACTATGATAAAGCCGAGGTACATTAGATCCCTGACATTCCTGCTGCTCTGCGACGTGGCACTGTGGGACAGGAGACGGCTCTCGGGTGGCCCCGAGAGGCTCCCTCTCAGCTTCCTCTTGTTGCTTTGTTTTTGGTCCTTTGTAAACTTAAGATATTTCATTAAGACAGAAACTGTAAGGAAAAAAGAAAACGGGGGAGTTTTTTGTTGTTGTTTTTTTAAGATTACAGCTGGTCAAGTAAACCACACTACAGAGCATCTACGATGAAGAAAGGCAAGCGTTATGCACGGCGTGCATAGAAAAGCTGCATTTAGTAAGTGGTTTTGTACAGCTGGTCTCATTCCTATATACACACACGAGTGGCAGCACAGATATTTATTTAGGGGTTTCCTTGTCTGTGGCCATAAGTGGTTGTTATGGTCTGGCTACCATATGAACGTATAACCCCTTTTCCTCGTATGCCACACATACATAGAAAGTCCTCCCTTTACTTTTGTTTTTCAGCTACATACAAAACTTTGAATATTTTGTTCAGCCAATTGTTTGTCAGCAGTCGGCACAAATCATACTAAAATTAGGAGGGATTAATGGAAATCGAACAATAGCACCGTGAGTTTTTTTTTTTTTGGGGAATACCAATTGAAAGCACAGCAAAACTATTTACAACAGGTGAAGGTCCTGAATCAATCTATGACTTTGCTCCGCTGGGACTGGTGGCATGGATTTGAGCTCCGAGACATCAATAGTTTGAAAAAAAGGGTTGAATTTTTCCTTCTTAGACAAAACTCGTCCGTACAGACAGACAGAACGAGGCCTGGAAGTCACGCCAAGGCAGGACACATTTACCGGGAAAAAAAAAAATCAGTCCTCCTCCACCTGCGATAGTGCACAAGCTGGCGTGACGGCGCCCCACCCAGACTAAGCAGTCAGACAGCAACAGCACATCTGGGCCAGAGCACCATTTCGGCACTCCCCCATGACAGGTAATCGATATGGAGAGCAGACGGTGCACCAAACAGACGGAAACATGTAGACTTACAGAGAGAAAATATGCAGGGGGAGGGGGAGGTCGTGAAGGCAAAAGCGGGACAGAGGACCCTCAAACGGAGGCGTAGGTGTTGCCTGTGGCGCTGCAGTGGCGGATGGTGGGGGTAGCGGCGGAAGGGGTTAAGATGTGCTCGCTGTGGTCCTGCTGGGGCTGAGGCAGCGAGTGGAGGACGCCCGGCTGGACGACCCCCACCACGGGGTGCGAGCCGTCCTCCAGCGCCCCGACCTGGATCACCTGGATCACCTCGTGGTCAGACTTTTCCCGCTTGGCGAGAGGCTCCCCCGTGTCCTCTATGTCGTCGTCCAAGTCGCTGTCCATCCCACTGGTTTCATCTGGGAGGGGAGAGAAAGCATGTGAAACACACAGAGCATATTTAAAATTTAAATAAAAATACTGGCCGAGTCCTCGCATAGTCACGTACCTTTATCCAGGTTACTGAGGGACAGCGTGTTGAGGCTTTCGAACTGAATACAGAGACAAAATAATTAGCGTGACGGGGGGGATACAAGTGGCTCACATGTGTTTCTAGTATAACACAGATTAGATTAGAAACCATTTCATTGTAAAACACTGTGAGGATGAGATGCTGAACAGCTGTACCTCCCCCATGACACCAATAGGTGTCTCTCCCGTAGCTTGTGCCACGCGATGCTCCACAAGGTAAAACATGTACTCGTCGTACAGCAGGCGAATCAGGTGGAAGGAACCGAAGCTGGCGGCGCTGCGAAGGGTCAGGTCCCTGATCACCATAGAACTGCAGAGACAGTCCAACGAAAAACACCGTGAGGGTTATTTACGCAGACTCCCCGGGTGGTCGGAAGTAAGGTTTTCTCTCTTTTTTTCCCCTCTCTTTGACCTGTAGAAGGACCACTTGAGCAGGAACTGTCGCGCCGCCCTCGGGAAGCTGGGCCGGTGCTCGTAAGGCTTGAGCACCTGAGTGACAACGTTTTCCAGCCAGGCTGCCCATTGCTCCAGAGAGCTCTGCTGCTGTAGTGTGGCCTTGAAGTCCTGCTCCAAGTGCTGAACGACTCCCTCCTCGCACTGGCACACCCACGATGCCTGCTCCTGTACAGCAACACACACACACACAGAAAGAACTGATCAAAAAAAGAAATTGTAAAAAAAAGGAAGCGGACACGTCACAAAAAGAACACTGAACGTCCGAGCACAAAGAGCCGCTCCGACCTGTACGTTGGCAAAGTCAACGCGGTTGAGATCGCTCAGCATCTGGTTGATCTGCGATGTGTTTTGCAAAACTGCCCGAGCCGCTTGAGCCAGGTGGTTCAGAGATGTGTATCTGCGCAGTGTTTGCGCAAAGGCACTAACAGCGGCAATCTGTCCAAAGAGCACACAAGCAGAGCACAGGTGTTGCCAGGGGGGTCGTCTCAAAAAAAACGACAGGTGACTTTCTCAATGTGGGACTTTCCCGCAGAAGGCGACGCTCTTTGAACGCCGCGCAAGCGCACCTTGGTCTGGATCATTCTCTGCGGAATGGCATTCATGGCATTGTTGAGCCAACCTTCCAGGCTTTTGGCAAAGTTGCGAATGGCTTGAGTCAAGGCACCTGACGGACAGAGAAACACAGGAGTTCATGATGGGGCCCGGGACAAGCGGCGACGCGGCTCCTAGGACTGTGGCTCACTGGGAATGGGTCTCAGGACATCAGGGATGAGGATCTCCACGAGGGCCTGGTACATTAGATGGTCACAGGTACTCATCCACTTCAGCACGGCCTCGTTTCTGCACAGTTCCATCAGCTGCGAACGGGGCAGCCGGGCTTCGATCTCACTTAAGCTGCTGAGGAGTGAACATATCAGATTTAGAAAAGGTCGCCCAAAAATAAAACTAGATAGTTTTGCTGATGTTTCTAATGGGCAAAACAAATAATGAGATTCACCTGTTTTCTGTTAGAGTGGCTCCCTCTACAGAGTCAGGGGGAGAATAACGCCAGAACGTCTGCCACAGCTTCTCAATTAGACTGAACTGGAGGTTGACAACCACATCCAGGATAGCCTGAAACAAAGAGCAGAGAAGAAACCACACAAATGAATTGTTTTCACTGGAAGCAGCGCGAGAAATAGTTCCTTTTAAAACCGCAACCAGCACAGTCCCCAATTTGAGGCCATGTAAGTGGCGAATAACCAAATTCCTACATTTCCCGATGTTAGCAGAGACTTGATTGAAAACTTCACGAGACGAAGAGAAAATGTGCCTCTGAAATGCCAGTAGCTAGCATTTACAAATCACTATAAACACACATGACCTTTTCCCGAAGTTTCCATGCTCTCTTGTTGTTCTTCAAAATCTGTAAAACTTATATTCAGTTTTTTTTTTCCATCTTACCTGCCTTTTCTAATTAAAGCTAGCTTAAATAAGATTAAACCAGTAAATTGCTGTAATAGGATATTGGCTGATTAAGGAACAGGAAAAGAAGGGGGAAAAACATGAACTACACATATTGTGGATGTATCAACGAATGCCGCGATATTAAAAAAAGGGATTACTTAGCTTTGAGCCCCGTTCCCCTCGTGGATCACACACACACACACACACGCACGCACACACACACACACGCACACACACACACGCGCCAAAGTGAGCTGTGGAAGTGAATATGAAAGAAAGAAAGCCCCTTATCGTACCTCACAGTGCTCTCTATAAAGGGACTGGAGGGCTTTCACATCCTCGGGGCTGATGCTCTCCGTATTGCTCGGTCCCAGGTCCAGCTCTACAAAGTCGGGGAGTGCCCGCGACGCATCTGTTCGGAGTCATGACATGTTTCCTTATTAGAGTAACCTGTCAAGCTAAACATTCTAAATACACTACAAGGCATTGAGATAAGACCAAAAATAAAAAAAAAGCAGCTGACCGAGGAACTGCTGGTGGTGTTGACTCTGTGCAATGACGGTCTGCTCCTCTGCACCAGGAAGATGCTGGCCTCCACTTGAGTAGTTCTCTCCAGTGCAGCCATCGAACTTCTGCACCGGCTTGAACCTGCAACAACGGCAGTATGTGTAAATGTAAAAAAAAAAACTGCAGCTACCCAGCGAATACTGCGTGTACTGCACATGTGCGCCCAGTCGCCCACGTACCTCTGTTTCTGCTGAACGGGCTGCTGTCGGAGTGCCATGTACTGCATGTCTTCTTGGAGCCGGTTGAGCGGCGAGTCTGGTTTCACACGTATTCCGTAGTAATGATATTTGGAGTTCCCTCTGCAAGGTAAAAAGAAAAAACAAAAACAAAACAGAAGGTGAACACGCGTGGACGGAAACGTTCACATGGACGGAAGGGAGGGACAGAGGATCACGTGGGGCAAGAAGAGCCACGTGGACATCGGGCCTTTAGATGACTGTTTTTTTGCAGATAAAAATAAAACCCCAACCTTGTCCCGAGGCGCCTCGTACGGAGTCCCATGAAGATGGAGCGGATAAGTTTGCCAAAAGAGGCTGCATTAACGGGGTCCAGTTTCTGCTCCTGGCAGTGGCGCAGATAATGATTGTAGAGGGTGGAGCGTGGTAGACTCACGCCCTCTGCTGTCTCGTAGTTGTCCAACAGCCACTGGAGCTACAGGGGCACAGATGCTTTTTAAACCAAAAAGAGATTAAAAGACACTGGTGCATGCGAACCGCCTGGGAAGGACCTCAGACTACCCGTCTGTTTTATGCACTCGCGATTCTGCAAAAGCGTTCTATAGCAGCGAGGGAGTTTAAAGCAGTAGTCACAATTAAAAGCAGTAAAGCAAACTCAAAATGTATAGAGCATTGACAAGTGTAGGAGAAGTCAAAGTAAAGGATGGGGAAACATTCGTAAAAAAAAAAGAAAAAAAAAAAAAAAGAAACTTACATGGCTGTTGAGCAGCGAGCTTCTCTGACTGGATAAACCCTCAGATTTTTGGAGCGTCTCAATCGCCATTTCAATCTGATAAACCACACGAAGCACAGGACAACAAAATGTAAGAGGGGAGGAGAAATTAAAAAAAAAAAAAAGGGCAAGAGAAATAAAAGCGCTAACGTAGACACGTTAGTATCCACGTGCAGAAATGAAAGACAATCTAGAGAAAGATCACAAAGCAAGCACCACTAAACCCAAGCAAAGCACAACTGGCTGTCATTAGAAGTCTGAGGCGGCCGGAGTAGTGGGGACCGAAGTACTCCCCAATCAGGGAGAACTGGTGTGTAATGTGGACAACTACATTGAAAAGAAAGAAAGAAAAAAAACACTCATGGGGGGGCGGGGTGGGGGGCTCGGTTTAAAGCAAACGGCACTTGTCACTTTGTCCGATGCAGGACTCTCAGGAGGACGGGGCGAGTCCTTCCTGTCCTTGATGCACCGGTCTCAGCTTTTAGCCCCTCCTTCCCTCCACACCAAAGAGTGGGAATCACAGTGGGAATTAAACTTCATTAGAAGTGGAAACAACGCCCTGCATACCTTGGCCATTGAGTATTAGCGGCAGGGGTTAGTTCTCTGCGGAGAGACAAACCCGCAAAACACGACGCAAATATGGAGTTTAAACACAGGACGCTGCTAAGAGAGACGGGCGCCCGGCATTTACCGCTGCAACGGTCAATAAAAACGTATGGCAGAGACAGAGCATTTACACGGAGAGGGCCGGTCCAATCGGCCGGGTGCTGTTGACTCACAGTGGCTGGGGAAGCTCGTGCCGTCTGGCTGACGGGGTGGGGGGCGGCGTTGTCCATGATGTAAGCCCCCGGGCTGGTGCTGATTACCTGACCCCCTGCCAGAGTCATGCTCATCCCTCCGCCGCCGCCTCCGTTGTTGGTCATGCCATGCGATGTCACCACGGTGGACACTTGCGATGAGCTGCTCTGTGTGTCAAAGTAGTTCCCCCCACTGTTCTGGCTGTACAGCTGCGGCTCCGAGTAAGAGTAGGTCCTTCTGTTCCAACCCAGCGGGACCCAAAACAGTCCTTATTTAGAATGAGCTTGTTACTTACAGTCAAATAATGTCAACAATCGTCCACTTTAAAATGACTTATTTCTTTATTGATTTCCTTTGAAAGTAACAGCAGGGGTTTTGTTCATATACCTAGACGCATTTTCATCTGTGATTTCCTTCATTATTATGTTGAAACTATCCTAGTACTCAGAGCTTACATCCAGCTGTTTGCTGAATGTTTGATCTTGTATTTTTAAGCACTCAGTCAAACGCGTCTCAGTGTTTGAACCAGCGGCTGCGGTCACACAGTAACCGTGCGTTTGTGTCTGCACGTGTGCGAGTCTGTGTGTGTGTGTGTGTTATCACAGCAGGTCAAACACAGCGTGGCGTATTTAGTGGAGTGTCTATGTAACCCCCACTGCCTAGACACAGGGGACCCTGGCGCAGCCTCAGCACTTAAAAGACGGGCCTACTTCTGGTCATGTTCAGGTGACGGAGTGCAATCAAGCACACGATGACCGCAAAACCCCTCAAATGAGTCAATAAACACACAAAAAAAAAATAATACTGAATGCACTCCCACCGACATCATGTGCTCGTGACGGTTCGAGGAGACTCAAGAGGAGAAAGAACAGGCTGCGGGGACTAATATTTATAGAGCGGTGTAGCCGCACAACTTGGTAACAGACTGACTCACATGTTGCCATTCGTGTAGACGCCACTGTTTTCCTCCACATACTGCACCTGCGCTGGGTAAACATGCTGAACCTGTTGCACAGTCTGGGCCTGGTAGGACAAATGTGTGCAAAAGTGTTGCAGAGGAGTTCATTTCATTGACCAAAGACACATATTGGGGCTGTTCAACACAGACGTGCACGCACACACACACACACACACACATACACACACAGGCTGGATGTACCTGTTGCTGGACAGGCACCTGCTGGGTGGAGCCGGTGGGCTGGACAGGCACGGTGGTCTGAAGAGGGACTGTGGAGGTGGAGTCAGCACCTGCCTCAGGGGTCTGCATGGCGCCTGGATGAGGCAGAGGAAACACGGTGACGCCGTAGGTAGAGAATGGTCACGATCGGGGGGGGGGGGGAGCCAGGCGCACCCCGGACCTACCGGTTTAACTCGCAGAGCAGCTGTACGACTCCGCAGCGACAACAACAACAACACCATAACCTCAACGCATTCGTGGGTCAGGCTGAACGCGGCAAATCCAACATCGCAAACTCCCTTAAAACGGAGTGGATGGTTTATCAATAGGGTTGGTCTCAGACGAGTCAGTGAAAATAAAAGTGTTTAACATTTGCCTCATGATTTTGTGAGCCACGGGACAAAAGATCGGCCCTGAACAGAGAAAAGAAGACAGATTTTCTTAAATCGATCGTACTAAAGCTGCTCAAGAGTAATTCCACCCCAGCACCTGTTCCTGCCTTGCAGTACTTAATGTACTGAGAGCCTCATGCATCAGTGACACATGGTCTTGTCTCCATGTTCACAGCCATAAAACAAGTTAATATTTAACAAGCTACAAATAGACGATGCCTCTCGTGGCTCAGGCAGTTCCCGATTTTACAGGTTTCACGTTGCTTGAGCTCCACGACCAGTACAAAGAAAATGTGCAAGGGAAAACTGGAAAGTTCTCTCATTACTATAAAGCTTTTAAAGTTGAAGACCAGCTGTATAAGAAAAAGAAACGCTAAAGCTGTTGCTGTGTTGCGCATCGGGGACTTACAACCGCGTCTACAGCGTTTACCTTCCATGGCTAGAAATAAGCTCTTCTGACAATAAGGAAAAGACAGAGAAGACACTGGTGGTGAACCTGTGTTTATGAGTTAATATTAGTATGTCTGGCTTCCATCACCCATTCCTTCCAGGGAAAGGCCACCTCCTCCCCATCCCAGTTTCCATGAACAAGCCTCTCTTGGTTAATTAAGCCGGGTCTCCCAACAGCATTGAATCTCACCAGGGACGGCCGGCCCCTTCCCTTTAATATCATACTGGCATTTTTCTCAGGAAGAAGGGATTCACTTTATTGGCATTGGAGGGGGTAGGTTAGGAAAGAAGGGGGGGCGGGGGAGCAACCTTTAGAAGTTGGACTTCGGAGGCAGATTCAATTTTTCCTCGGGGTGCCAGGGAGAGGAGGAAGAGGAGAGTCTATATTTCTTTAAATTATCCAAGGGGGCATAGAGATTCATTAACGCCAGAGCCATCTGCCTCCCAGCAATGACTATTTTCACCACCTCGGGGAGAGAGAGGGCGAGTATATACTATCGCTGTGAAGACGTGTCAGCGGGCTGTTGCTAGACAGACTGCAGTCGGCTTCTGGAACAAAATAAAATAATAAACCAGTATCCCGTTAAAAGTTTCCATGTCCAATAGACCCTATAAACGGGTGACATCATTTGACAAAAAAAAAAAAAAATGCATCTCCCAGAGAGAAGCACGGGTAACTCCTTTACCCTAAAAGGGTGAAAGCCGTCAGATGCAGAGCACCCCCCCCCCCCAAAAAAAAGAAAACGACACAAAATGTCAGACGCCAAAGTAAAACTGGAGCCTTCAGCTTACTGTAACCAAATGCTAGTGAACGGACTCGTAAAGAACGGGGACTCTAGAGTTATACACCACAGTGCGGGTTGAAAGCAATAGAACGTGGCCCCAACTGAGCCCACCAAATCTAGGGAAAGAGCCCCTACATCACAACACACTCTCGTTGCCTCACACCAACCCCCTCCAAAACACACACGCACACACTACCACACCTCCTGCCTCACCATTCAGGCACTCCCTTGTGGCCCACTTAAATGCTGTGCTCCACTGAGCAAGTGCAAGCCCTACAAAGACGCGGAGGAACAAAAGCCACCAAGGAGGGCAACGTTTCGCCCTGCGTTTTCTCCCCTCAATTCCTCTTACTGAACGCCGCCAGCAAGAAAAAAAAAAAAGAGAGAAAAAAAGAAAGTGCAAAGTCCACAGTTGTGGCACAAGCAGAAAATATATGGTTCCATATTTGCCTCTTTAATGATGGTTATAGGATGAGGGGCGGAGCCTCAGGGACCAATCACAGGATTGGGAGCCGGTGAACGAGGTTGAAAAGTTACACCTTACTCAAAATCTCTCCCTCTCACATGCACACGTAAAGTACATGCCACACTAAGCAGGACGGCTGCATGATCAGGTGGAGGGAGAGAGGTGATTGTAAATTGGTATTGACATGTGTGGGTTCAGGAAGGACATTCAAGTCTCATCTTTCAAAAACAATATACATTATTGTGGGCAGGCAAGGGGGAAATAACAAACCAAACCCGCCCTTATTCTCCTAAGCCATGAAAATGGATGACTGAATAATTGAATTAATCAGCCCCCTCTTTAAGTGATTGGAAATGTAACAGGATCCATGCAGCAGGTGGCATGGTACTATTTCTGCGCCGGCGGATTACAGGTAAGTGGTAACGTGATATGATAACTAGCAGTCCCCAACATCCTGTGTGTCGGAAGAGGTGTCTGTGCATGACCCATTTTGGGCTGTGTGTGCCAACAAATCAATATATCCACATTATGTTAGGCTTTAGATAGAGTACGCATGGGGGGGGGGGGCGGGAAATGTGCCGTTTGTATTTTGATGGAAATGGTTTGAAGTGATCCAGCTCTTGTCAGGCTGCGTGAGTTCCGCTGTGATTCACAGCCATGCCCCAAACTGAAAAACATAACCAAATTACAATCAAATTAACTGTATTGCTGTATATCAAGGTTTTTTTTCCTGTGAGTGGTGAACACATAAGGATACGACTCGATCATCAGGAGTCCCATCACTACTCGAGGAGCACCTGTCCTCTCCATCTGACACACCCAATCTCTGCACTGACGGGAATCACAGGTCGCAGCTAAACACAGGGGACCCAATAGACCCCGAAATAATCGTGATGCAACATTCAGAAACCCGGCCTGCACTCCTGTGAACAATCCACACGACTCTTAAATCACAAGTGCACGATTCCCTTGAAAGGAAAGGGCATTTGGCTTGGAATTATGTTTTAATCAATTAAAAAAAAAAAAAAGATTAAAAAAAAAGGGGAGCCCCAAGTTAATGTGGCATTATTAAAAATGATCTTACGACCCGGATCCCCTTCGGCTGGTGTCAAGCTGAATTTAAGAGCACTCCTTTCTCTGTTCCTTTTTATCGCACCCAAGCAAGGAAGCAAGAATGCACGTAACAAAAATCACAACATGCAATATTTCAGATGCTTTTGCAGCCCTGCAAACAATGTGAAATGTAGAATAACAAAATGACCCCCCCCCTCCCCCTCAAGAAAAAATTGGGTGGTAACAGTGAGGCATTTTAATGTTAATTCGGGCAGGTGTTTTTCTTTTTCTCCTGACCACAGCGAAACTTCGCCCCGTGTTATCAAGATAGCGTATCGCAGCCATCGGATGCCACAAAGAGGGCAGATGGAGAGCTAGCGCAGCTATCCTGCTCCCTAAGACAAAAGGGAAAGTAATGGCTCAGCTATTGTCAATAGCAGTTAGTGTGCGTGTGTGTGTGGAAAGCTAGCTCGCACCACTCTCCGCTTGCTGATCGACCTTATCGATTGTGTACGACCGACCAGCTGTAAACCACCCGACAAATACGCTCGCATTACCACCGCGACGTTAGCATAAAAACGGTCGCGCCGCCGACAGGCACCGTGAGCGGGCAACGCTGGCGTTAGCAACCTAGCAACAACAGACACCTGCTCCTGCTCCAGCTGACCAGCTAGCATCCGGGACTAGCCCGGGACCCATGCTAGCACCCAGCATGGGAAGTTTAAGCAGACACGTTACACGTAAAAACCCCGTTTGGCTTCCAGCTCGCCTGACGGCTGGGTCCTTTTTTTAAGACACAAGGAACCCCTTAAAATAAAAAGAAAGGGGAGGGGGGGTGACACCGAGTGCTACAGCTAGCGACCGGGACCCTCTCCCAGCTGTGGGTAACATATCTACAGGCAGCGTTAGCAAGCAGGCTACCACGTCACAAAGAAACACCCTCGCTAGCAAACTACCCCGGCTATTCAGCGGCAGAGCAAACACAAACCGCGGCGTTAACGGCTCCCGCGTACAATTAACCCCCCATTCGCAAGAGCGAGGAGAGCCGATTTCCAGCTAAGCGCAAAAGAAATAGTAACACACACACACAGGGGAAAAAAATGGATTCAAACCTGAGCCTGTGGACTGGTTGATGAAGATGAGGATGGTGGAGGAGGTGGTAATGATGGAGCGAGAGGTTGTTGTTGGTGGGTTACAGTCGCCAGGACTACGGTGACTATGGCGCTGCCTCACTGGGCAACAGTTGCTATAAAACTCCCCGGGAGCGCGCAACCTTACCAGGCAGGTGGGAGGAGATTAAAGCGCACTTAATACAGTCTTACGGAAATAAATCCACGCCGAAATACGTATCGATGTGTTTGAATGTATTGGGACTACGGAACAAGACGGTACATTTGTACCAATATTATAACAGAACGTGTGCGTTTTTTCTGATTTTATTTGGAGACGTTTGACATGATAATAAAAATAAATAAAATAGAAACAAGAAGACGACTGTGAGCGTATTCCTAAAGAAAAGGAAAATACATTTGCATTATCTTTGTTTGTTTTTTCATTCGCTTATGAAAATATATATAAGGACCATACCCAAGACCACCATTGTGTTTTTGGGTCATCATTTTGATTTCTTTATTTCCGTACAGTGATAAAGCTACGACATGATAATTCATATTCATTTGTGTGCTTCATTTGAAGGTTATTTCATTTAATTTTTTTTTCCGCTGCAATAACACAGTCTATGGTTGTATTTTTGAGATTCTCAGGATGCCAAGTTGATCTAAGTTTAGTCCAAACACAGGGCAAGATTTAAATACTGGGTCTAATATGAGACACTGGCCTAAAGCTATTGGTCTCTCACCAAAGCCTGTCATAAAGATACATGATAAATGTGTCCCTGCAATAAACCACCATGGTCTTTGTCTCAGTATTAGCAAGGCGTTTTCTGTTTCATCTCCCTCCAGTGTAATGAAGAATTCAGTTTAGCACAGAGATGTGTTTGTCTTGACACCGACTTGTTAATTCCACGGAATGGAATAAAAACAACATGTTTTATCTGTATCAGACAATTTTGCTTGATACAAAAGGGGCAAATAGTTTAGAAAATGGTTGTCGATACCACCTAGTGGTTGCTTTTAAAAATAATTAACAAAAAACATCCACTAACACGTGACCTGTTTTCAGCTTGGCCGAAATATCTTGATTTATTTTCCTTTATTATTGTTTTTATCCTGTTCTTGTGTCAATTATTTTACTTTGAGTATCTGTTTGCTATCAATCACTCATGTCAATGAGAAATAAAACCCTGCGAGTCCATCGGACGTGAGTTAAAACAAATATCTCTGTGTAACCCAGTAAACTCTGTGTCTACCGTTTCCACCAGAGTTCACAAACTTGCACCCTTGCCCCCCCACCGCCAGTGTTTTGATACAGAAGTTGGGCATAACCCATTTGCATTCATTCTGACATTTGCATATAGAAACAGATCTTTCATTTCTCTGAACATTGTTTGTATCTGAAATTTGAGAGCTGAACAAACAGCATGGCATTCTTTTCCCAAAAAGTGAGATTTATATTGATGTTTTCCCACCTTGGGTGAATCAACATAGTAAATGCAACCGGTGGCATGTACTTAAATGTGTTGTTAACTAGATGATTGCCTTCCCTGTTGTACATAGTTTTTTGTGTATATTTGTACAAGTGGGCAAGGGCAGTCGCTGGCATCAAAGTTTATTTATTGAAAATCATTTTGTATTGTGCGAACAATTTAGCTGTTCTATTTTGTTGTTGAAAAGTGACCCCCTCCTAATGAATCTGTCCCTATTCCAAAAAAATGAAATACATAATCAAATGTATTTCTGCTTGATACAGCGCTTAACTAACCCCCCGTGTCAAAGTTATAACACTTTTCTCTTTTGGTTAGCAGTACTAAACATATGCTTTTTTGGAAAATCTGTTGTTGCTAGGCAACTACTGAAACCCCCATCTGAAGCTTGACACTCATTTGGTAAAAGAATTATTTTCTTTTCAACTAAAAGAGTTGTTTCCTTTCAATTATAAACCAGAAAAAAAATCCAATTAGCCACCATGAACCGATCCACAACAGTTTGGTCCATCATTGCACACAAAGACAAAAAAATATATGTGGAATCAAAAACCACAGTACAAATGGTCTTTTATTCATCTATTCCAAATATGTTCAAAAGTTAAAACACCATTGCTGTAGATTCTGCTTATTTTAATCCACGTGTACTTTATGCTGCTGCTGCTCATGTTGAGGTTTTATTTGTTTTTGTTTTAAATCCTTGTGGTCATTTCAGAACACTGTAAAATTCGAACATTTGCCGGGACGTCAAATTTGCGCTTGCAGATTGTAATCTATTGTTTCTGATTTTTAGTTTTGTTATGGTTCCAACTGAAAGTGCAAACTGGTTTCAAAATGCAACAATTCTGTAACTTGCGTGAATAAAAACAGCTATAGTCATTGATAGTTTACAAAAACAGTCTTAAATGTTTAGATGTGAAATATAAGTTATTTGCAACAACTAAAACGTGTAAAGTCATCGGTGTGGTCACCAACACAAATCCACCTCATGATCAGGAGCAATCATTGCACATTACAGTACTATACTCAAACAACAGGTAATGTCTGTGAACATTACAGTGAGAATGTCTTGTTACTATAGTTACAAAGCTGTGGTTCTAAGAAAAACCTTCCCTTGCACACGTTGCTTTGATTGCATTGTTGAATATTGGGAAAAGTTTAACCATAAACTACCGTGAGTAGTTACCACATTAACGTTGCTCTACACAACTGGTATAGAACTGAGCAAGTAAACATTTAATTCCTGAAAGCTCAGCTATTTATAAACATTGATTATGGAGGCAGAAGTCAGTCTGTTGAGCCCAATAGTACATTCATAGAGTGAGATTTAAAGAGAAAAACTTAGCACTTAGACTGTAAGAGTCAATTCCTTGAAGACCAAGGGAGCAGCAGCTTGGATTGTGTCATGAATCAATCAATCAGTTAATCAATCAACTAAATCCCTTTTATTTAGCTAAATGAAGCTGCTGCTTTGTTGTGGCACCATTTGAAGTGTTCTATTGACCATTTGACTTAATGGGACAGTTCAGCCCAAACTAAAAGCCCATATTTCCCCTCTTAGCTTTTGTGCTATTTATCAATCTTGATTTTTCTGAGTGAATTTTTAGGTTTTGATACAGTGACGATCAAGATGTCTTGAAAAGGACATTGCTGTTGAGTATCTCAAATCAATTTTGTGGCGCTTTAAGCTCTACAAGCCGAGTGCCATATAGTCCCATTATTTCCCATGGAAGGCAGAGAGGATATCTCCAAAACCAGGCAACTCCTCCCAAAACAATCTAGATTGATGAATAGCACAACAGGAATAAGAGAAACATTTGTTTTTGGATTTTGGGGTGAACTGTCCCTTGTTAAAAAGAACACAAAATAGTGCAAAGGAAGCCAACCGCTATAAGTGATATCATCCCTGTGTAGGAGATGCAGGAGATGTGGCTTGTGCAGTGGTCCACCACACTGAAGAAGTCCCCTCTGTGCAGTTCATGATTAGGATTCACATCCTGTGCTTGACTGGACATCAAATCCTGCAGATGCACCTGTGGCCACACACACACACACACACACACACACACACAAACCCGCAAGTATGCACAGAGAGAGTTGTAATATCCAAAGGCAATAAAGTGCTAATGTTTGAGTATCTTAGTAGGACCAGTGGTTTCATTACCTGTAATACAGTAAGGAGCCATTTGTAAGGTGTCACCGAAGGTATCAACTTGCATCAGGTGACTTAGGCTGGGCTGTGCGGTGATCTGGTCATATTGTGGTGTAGAATATAGCATCGTAATCTGCCCTGAGAGAAAATGTTAGAGTTTTACCCTTTTGCCCACATTGCAAAGAACAACTCTTTAGTGTTTGTAGTTTTTTTTCTACTTGTATCAAGCATTCCTGTAGAAATGTAACATCAGACCTTGAAAATGAATCTTTTCAAATCCTGTCTTTATGTCCTTGGCTGATAAGACTAAATTGTGTGTTTCTGAAAACCATGTCAACATCACAGTGGCTGTGAAGTCCGCAGGGAAAAGAGGTGATATCTATTTAAAGGTACATCGAGGGGAGCTGCCTGATTCTGTCTCACAAGGAAAATTACCAGCCACCTGCTACACATCACGAAGATGTAACGCACGAGAGAAAATCAGTTCAGATTATCAAACCGCCCACACATTTGCTAATAGGCTCTTCAGGTGAAAAAACTTACACCATAAACTCTTTTTCAGAAGTACAACTGTATTCACACGTTTCCGATGAAGAGTACGGCTCGTCGGTCTGAGTACCTGGATTGTGACCTGCCGGATCCGGAGGCTGGCTGGCGTTCTTCAGACCTCGCTTGTCCTCTGGTGATGTCTCTTCGGGAGGGCGAGGAAGGCAGGGGGGAGTGCAACGCCCGCACTGGTCCCCGGGGAGGAGCTGCTGAGGGGAGGCATCAACAAACCTGAAATATTTCAGAGTGAATTAAAAACGCGTGGGATGAAGGAAAAAAACAAAACAATGTATATTTTTATTATTAAAAGAAAAAAGCAATTATTGCATATTGACCCACTGTGCAGCAAAGTAATAATGCAATTAAGAATGTAGATATTGTTCTTTGACAGCTGCTTTATTATTCAAAATTCTGCTATGTTTGAGGTTGGATTACTTTAACCTGTATGTTATTTTTATATATTAATAGATTTCTCAATATCTCTCACATTAAAATTAATTCCCCGACTGAATGGAATCAGAAAGTTTCTAAGAAGCAGTGTTTTACATTACAGGTAATTTAACTGGCGCTTTTTATCCAAAGCCACTTACATTGCCTTTTTAACCCATGGCTTTTTACTTTTTTTAGTCTTGCTCAGGGACACTTCGACATGGAACATAGAGAAGCCGGGGCTCGAACTGGCAACCTTGCAGTTCCTGGTAGTCAGGTTAGGCGCACCCTCTCTACTCCATGTGCCACCGTCGTTGTACTTCAGGACGTATAAAGTACATAAATGCAATACCAGTGTTTCTTTTGTTCAAATTGATGATTATTGCTCATTTAAATGGTCACGTTGAGACATGGTGAGATTACTCCTTAATTGAGCACACTGGATAAAGTTCATCCCAAAAGGCCAAGCGCCATTTCACAAGTCCACCTCCCCCAGAGAACAACATCTCTCATTATCTTGTTATAACAATATATTTTTAACGTTACAGTGTGATGCACATGGACTTTTCTTTTTTTCTGCTGTGGCGGCAGCATGTTGCTGTGAATTCAACTTGAAATAATTTGTATAGCTTCTGCACAGTATTAAAAAACATGCCATTTCCACGTTCTCTATACCTGGTCCATGCCTTAGTTATTCCCCTCTTATTTATAGATACTGAATTGAAAATCATACCTCTGCTGCTCATGGTTGCAACATTAAGTAAATCACACGTTGTTAAATACAGTGGATTAAACCAATAAATGTAAATATTCTTCACTGACCATGGCGAGCTGACACCCCTGCTGTTAGTTTTGGCCAAGTAACACTTTTGCGTGTCTACTTGCCAAAAAACAAGACTACTGCAGGAGCCTGAGTTTGTTGACAATATGCAAGGCCTGCATGGGAACCAAAAATAATCCCCAAGAAAGGTTTACGGAAAATGGCATTAAGCATTTTACAATCAATTTAACTTCTAAAAAGGTAATTACAGCGTCTCTCTTCTCCCACTGGACCTTTTTTAAACGGCATTTTTAAGATTCTACATTTCACTTATTGAATTCCTTAGCCGCTTTTGTCGGTGGCTATAGCATCCTTTTAATAGCAGCAGTCAAGACCAATGAGCCAAGGCGAGGTCTGCTTTCCGCCGGGCCAATTGTCCTCCCGGATCCCTGCAGTGAATGCGGTGGCCTGCTGCTGATATGAGAACAATCCCAACCAGTGAGGAGCCATGAGCATCTGGCTGCTCAGAGCGACTGAAATACTTGCTCACATGCTTTTTGAAGTTTGTAGACGAAGGGCTATTTTCCTATGGAATGAGCAAAGAAATGTGTTGCTGGCTATCCCAGACCTGTAAAGCCTTTATTTCATCGGGGGACAAAATAGTGCTTTCTCCTAAACTGATTCTAATTGTGAGCTCATAGTCTTGCAGCCATGGCAACCAATGTTTACGTTGATTGTTTCAAATCATCAAAAGGGCGGAATAAAATGTGTGGAGCATCCAAATCAGTCGTGGTTAAAGTGGAAATACAAAATCAAAAGCAAATACCAGCTGGCTAACTGTTGCAGCTTAAGGTGGTATTCCACAGCATTTGAGATTGAAGACGTTGTCTTTTTTTCCTTGTCGTCTCTGTAAATGCACGTTTTAGTTGGAATTGGAATTCCTGTCCCATTCATTGATATCAATGCATTAATTAATGATTCAACAATAGTCGAGTTGCTTGAATGCTTTTGCAGGAATGTTTTAACAAAAAAAAAAAAAACCCCGAGTACCTGTATTCATCTTGTAAGGAGCGCAACAATGCCAGGTGAGGATTGCTGGAGGAGTCTCGTCCCTGTGGAGCAGCTGAGGTACAGGGAAGACAGACACTTAAGGACTGTCCACCACAGCCTAAATCTAATCGTTAAACCTATCATCTGCACATGGTTGCCGAACCATATGCTAAGGTACATACATATTCATTGTAATGGGAAAATGATATGTGACCCTTTCAAATGCTTCATTTGTATAACCAGTTTATTAGTTGCAAGTGCTTAAAGGCCGAGGACATGCACTTACCACAGAAGGACTCATGGGATGCAGAAGGAGGAGAGTTCGAGTGTATCCTCACCAGAGGAGACAGGCTGGGTTGCAGAGGGTGGATGGTTAAGCAGTCTGTCAGGGTGTCTTGAGTCACGTCTGCGGTGCGTTTCATCTAGAGACATTGCACATGGAGCACAGTCCTAAACAGCGCTGGACAGAATAGCTACAGCAAGGGTGGAAGAGTTTTCTATTTAATGGGCCGAGTGTGTGTTGGGATTTTGCAGTTGTCTTGGTAAGAAGCATGCATTCCATCCTAATTACTATAAACATTCTTAAGGTTAGGACAAGAAAAGTCGTGCATGTGGGAGACTTTGTTAAATGTCACCTTTTTTAGCAACTTCCCACTTTCTTTGTATCTATGGTGACATAACCCTCAGTAGGAGCGAAAGAGACTAAATCTAACATGCAGCAATCTGAACTAAAGCACTGCATGGCCATAATCTGAATCTTTTAAATGGAGATACCCTGAATGGAAAATAAAGGACAAAACTGGCCAAAGATCCAACTATTTAATTATGTGTGTTTATCTGCAGCCTTGCTCAGTGTGAGAGCCGGTGGATGTATTTTAAAGTTACAGTTAATGGCAATTTCTTTCCTTGAACACTTATGTTGCAGAGTTAAACAGAGTGGGATGGAGAGCACATCACAGCGTATAATGATGTCAGCCAATTATGGAAAAGAAAGCACAACGTGCAACACGAGTTGTTGTAGATTTTCTTTTGTCCATGGGTGTAATGTTGAGTATGATGCTGTCTACTTGCAATCATCACTAATGAGATTCGGTCACCTGGACCCGGCTAACGTCTTTGAGAAAATGCATTTTTTCTTTTTCTTCAAACAACAACTTAAATGTTCTTCCACTTGTGTACTTGATAAAAATGTTAAAAAGAACAATAGTGCTCGGAGGAACTGGTGAGTTGTGTTACAGCACACGCTGTGGTCAGTACCTTCTTCCGTAACTGCCGTTCTTTAGTCGAGTGGGATTTGACGTGTTTCCTCAAGGAGCTGGGATCGGTGTAGCGCTTTGCACAGCCAGGCACCTGGCAGGTATACGGCTTCTGCACAATCACAGCCATATAAAAAAAACTTGTCAGACTCCACACGGAGGCAAGAAACACACACATGAGCTTTGAAATCCCACCGATAATTGAGCGTGTTTGTGCAATGCCGCCACTCACTGTGTCCAGGTGCGTGCGCTGGTGCTTGGCTCTGTCACTTGAGTTGCTGAAAGCCTTGTGACAGCCTGGGTGCTGACACATGTAGGGTTTCTCCCCCGTGTGGCTGCGCAGGTGGATCTTCAGGTTCTCTAGTCGAGAGAAAGCCTTCTTGCAGCCCTCGAACTGTGAGCGCACGGAAACACAGTGAGCAGGACATTCTGATCAGGTTGCATTTAAAATAGGTTTGAGGCTTGCAGGCTGTTGACTCCCTGCAGCGCCATGTCCAATGTAAGTGCTGCAATTATCTTCAACACAATGTCTCACATCCAGCCGGAGCTATGAGCCTATTAGCCGAAAGTCGCTGCCGACACAGGCCTGCTGACCTCAGCGCGTGGGAGGAGGGTAAAGAGGAAGTACGCCGCACCTTTTGAAAGGATGAAATGACTGCCATTTAGTCTTAACCGACCCCAACGTAAGTCCTAGCTGCTCACTTGCTCTGGTAATTTCATGGTTGAGAGGCGAGCAGCTATGGAGCAGTGAAGCCCCAAAGTATGTAAACATTTAAGAGAGACGGGTGCGTCTTAGTTATATGGACAGGTTATACGTGTCTGCAACTTATTAACAGTGAGCAGACTGTACTGAACATCTTTGCTGTATGTTTACATTTGCTGTATGTATGCTCCCAATTTTACAATTATGTCACTGTACTCATTTGGATTTCATTTTCTAAAGTGAGCATGTAACTAAGCTTGACGTATAGAGCAAGAAATAAGAATCTAACACTGATATTTGAAGCTGTCTTAATAAATCAACAGTAGATATTCAACCAAAACTTGAAAGAGGCACAAACATTGTAAAGATACATTGTTTGTTTTCAGCTGTTTTGTTAGCACTTGTTAAGACACAATGTCTCACACACTGAAGGGTAAAGCCTTGTGCTTTAACAAAAAGATATATATCTACTCAAAGTTAAATGTTGAACTTTTTAAGTCTTAATCGCAACACTTTAAAATCTATTTAAAACAATATGACAAAGAGTGATCTTTTAAATAACACAAATATCCCATACTCAAAGACACATTTCAGAGGTATGTCACCAGCAGGGGGCAGTGTTCATACATCACTGCTCTGTCATTTGTGTTATTAATCTTTTATCTTGCATCACCTTGGCGGCGGCCGGTAGCTATCAGTTACAACACAAGTAAAGTCACTTGTAGTATTCAGTACAAGAGACCGAAGAATGACTATATATGTGTGTTTAAATATGTGTAAATACATAAACACACTGCAGTATGATGCAACCACAATTACTTTTATGCTTCATAGGTGTCCACTTTCCTATGACCAGGACTTTACTCCCCTCCTTCTGATTACAGGAGGTTTGGAATGTGACTATTATGCCTTATAGAGAAAACAAACAGACCATGTCCAATTTTGTTATTTTTTCACCAAACCTGGATTCCTGACATACTGATACCTCTCAGTCATCACGGACAAAGCTAGATCAAAATGTCTCTGCCCATTTATAGTTCACTAATAACATTCCTCTGCATTCCACAAATGATTACTTGCCTTCCTTCACCATCACAACACGGCTATTTCCCGAGATGCATTCTGAAAAACTATTTAGTCTTCAACTTGAACCTGGAGAATGAGAACTTGTTCAAGTTCATTCAATTGAACTTGAAGAAATGTCACATGACTTTTTAACCAGAGATATTGGCTCAATTTAATGTTAACGTTTAATGGATGGTGGTTGCATTTCTGGGAAATCTTTAAAAGCATAAGATCTAGATTTACCAGCGTGCAATATGAATATTTCTGAACATCTGGTCAAAGCCAATAGATTTAATTGAAAGATGAAGAAAAACGGCGGAGTAGCACAGGAATGACAAAAGAAAATCCCCTTCACACCATTTCACTTTGGCTCCCTTTCCAATGCTGGTTTACTATCATAAATGCGCCTTCATAGGAGGGACGTCTTGCAAAGTGGACCAGTCCTTAACGCACTTTAAATTCTCAACTTCAACACAACAGAAAAAGCAGCTCAGACAATCGTAAAAACGTCTCTGTGGTCAGATAAGCAAGAGCCATAAAGCTCAAAGACTCCAGACCTTTCTCTGTCTCATAAAGCTGTCGTTTTTCGGTCTGTCGCGAGGGACGTTTGGGCTGAAAAAGGAAGCAGCATGGCTCCTCCGTGTAGATCAGTGTTACAGCCAGCTTCTGACAGGCCCTGGCAGGTACTCATGCCCCGGTTGTACGAAGGCAGCGGCGGCCCGTGCCAGCAGAGTCGGTCCAGTGCCCAGTCTTGGGGTCAATACACTGTGAACGCCATGTTTCTGCACTGCTCTTTGTTTGTTTCATCCTTTTCCTTTTACTGTATATAGATATTTTTTTAAACGTGTCTTTCCCTCTTTCTAGTGACTCGTAAATTACCAGAGAAATAATTGGTTTTGCCACAATTGCTCAAAGTGTGTGACAAAATGCTTTTTTAGAGGAAGCAAAATTGTATAAATGATATGAGATTCATCATTTTAACCCTCAAATAATAAAAGTAACACGATCTTTTTCTTTCTCTCTTTGACAGCACCAGTGGCGGTAAGTGGTAATTGCGAGCGTGTTTATTGGATCTCACAGATCCAAGTTGTGACACATTTTAATAACACTATACATATTGCTGCAAAATATGTCCTTACTGTTTTGTAGATTTAATCATCACTGTTACCTCATTAGACCATTAAACAAGATTGTGACTTAACAGATTTTGACACACAACACAACATTAGTTCAACATTTTTGAAAAAGCCAAGTGGGACTTTTCATGTCACAGGGAAGCGAGTTTAGTTTTGGCTACTAAAACTAAATAAAGATTGTGTCTGTAATGTGAAGGTGTATTCCAAATGCCTTAAGCATTATTTCTAAGTGACAAAAATTAAGTAAGTTCTCTCTAAATAAGTAAGAATGTTTCTTAAAATGTTGTCTAACTAGAAATTGAATCCGACATGAATTTTAGTTTTAGCAAGGGTTGAATTACAAGCTGGATTAGCAGGGAACTGCTACTATATTTACTGTACAGGTACAAATGCATTGATAAATTAGCAGTAATAACTCCTTTTGAAAAAATATGAAGTATATTTAGGCTACGTTCTCAATTTACTAATCACAGCTGAAAATCAACTGAGTGGATGTTTGTTTGTTGTGTTGGAGTAGAAGTAAAGGATAAGAAGCAATTTCCAGAATAGTAACAGAAATGAAAGATAACAAAACGTGTAAATCATAATTTATATGATGACCCACAATGACAATAATAGGGATTTCCTGTTTGGGTTTTTACGTTCTCTCTGTGCTTTTAAAGCTTCCAATGTTTAAATCCTTGTGATGGATGTAAGCAGACTGGTGAGTGGAGAATATGTTAACAAACAGCTGCATCATCATTAAATTGTGAGACGACAGCTACAAGCCTGGGCCTGCCCGAGGTGTTCCTTTTGTAACAAGAGCTTCCCTATTGTTCTGCTTTGGCCTCGTACTTTACCATCCATGAGTTTATTCGCCTGCCAATCATTTCCTAAGAAAGTGCTGCATCTTGGAAGAAAGTGCTTTGGGCTCTTCTAACTGTTCTTTGAAATTGAATTTTTTTTTTTTATATGTTGGTATTTCTGTTGTTTGAAGCACAACATTAAAATCTCAGGAGGAGAAAATGTAGTCATATGCACATATTGATGCAAAGATATTTAAAACTATTCATGTAAGATGTTCAAACTAAAAGAACATCTGCACAGACTTACATTTTGTCATTATAGTGAAGGAAAGATACGCCTAGTGATCTTTCCCCAGAATAAACTTGTCCTATTTACTGTACCAAAAACACCACTTCATTACAATTCTCTTTTTGGCAATGGGTTGTGACCATGAATACCTATTGAATGATTACATGGCACGCAGACACATTCAACGTTTGCAGCCCCCATGGCAACTAATAAGTGAGTATTTTGGTACCAAAGGTCGACTGCAGGTATGCATGCTGTTAATAACTGACTCGTTGAAAGCAGCAACGTGAGGCATGTTTTGCAAGTGGTTTGTCAATTACTCATCTAAGTCTGCGGTATTTTCCAGTGGGAGTGACGGAAAAATAAAACAAAGCAGGGACTTGTAAAGGAGTTCTGTGACGTCCATATATATTTTTTTGTCATTCTGGTTGCATGGAACTGAAATGTTGTTTACTCTGTTGGTTGGTTTGTTCAGATAGGTCCTGACTACGATTTCTCAAAAACATCTCGATAATTTGCCCTCCATTCATTCTTAACACTCACATAATGAATCCCACTGATTTCCGCAGTCCGCTGACAATCTTATCACCAACAAGTTGACAATCTTTGAAAAGCTGTTGGATGGATTGCGATGAGGTGATCTCCGGATATTTCACATAATGCCACATGTTTAAATGATTAATATGTGATTCTTTGGAATGTCATTAGCTTTACAACCTTTTGTTTATGAACCAGTCAGCCTGTGCTAACACATTAAGCTAACATGGTGAAAAGGGTGAACCTGCTCCTGCTTAACATCTGCTTATTAGCGTTATCTACTTGAGCACGCTTGCATGTTGACACAAGCATCTAGCCTAAGGCGCGAATATTCCCACGTTGCACTTCAAACTAATAACCAAACTACAGAGGCATCCTTAAATTGCAACACAACTGAAACAACTCATCAATCTTGGACAAACAAAGCCACTTATTCATCAATAATCTGCCCAATGGATAAACGCCAACCCATCGGCCGCAGATGCAGAGGTGTAGAGAGAGCCGGACTATGGGGCATCACCTTCCCAGAATGGCAGCCAACCTTGCCGTACGTGGGCCAGGCGGGACCCCTGCGGCTGAAACTGCTGCCCAGCGGCTATTAGAGAGCCATGGTGCCATGCCAGATAAAAAGGGTGACGCTTCCTTTGTGCTGATTTCATATCTACATTATCGAGTTAACTCCCATGTCAATTATCACAGCAATCGGCTAATTTCCTCATGGCTCTCAGTCCTCAGGACGTATTTATTTTACCCAAAACTTGGCTATAAACACAGAGCAATGGAGGCATTTACTCTAAAAAAACAAAATAGTTTTGCTCTGCAGGCTTGAAAGCCCTTCAGCTAGATACTGTGGCTTTGAATGGAACATTAAGAATTGAACTCAGTCATCCCCTGACATTCATCATGTTCCTGCTTTGACCGCAGCCACTCAGTCTCACAAAGCAATTCATTCATCTAATTTAGAGAAAGAGCCGTGCTGTGTTGTATGAGAACGGAGACAGCACACGGAATCGTTTTAAGAAGCAGAGCAATAAAGTGTCAACGTAGATAGATAGATCTCTACACTGTTGCACGAGAAGAAACAGCCGTGATGGTGTACCGTGCACTTGTTGGGTTTCTCTCCTGAATGGACCCTCATGTGGATAAGAAGCTTGTATCGGGCGTTGAAGGGCTTGAAGCTGCGTGGACAGTCCACCCAATGGCACGTGAAATCATCAGCTTTCCGCTGGTCCACATGTAGCTTTTCTATGTGCCTTACCAGCTCCTCCCTTTGGTCATAGACTGCACTACAGTCCAACCACCTGCAGCAGTGTGCGCCGTAGTCCTCCAGCTCTCCTTCTTCTTCCTCCAGCATGGGCACCTGGGGTAGAAAGTTCACCCCATGCCTGTGATGGACCACGGGAGCTTGTGGTACAGGGAACTGAGAAGGGGACTTTTTTTTACAGTACTGTTTAGTGAGATGGATATGCTGGTGTGAGTGGTAGGGTGGTGGAGGCCCCTGTGGAGTAGCAGCCTCTTGGATAGTAGCCAACAGGCCTGGCTGTAACCGTGGAAGTGCCAGCAGGTTGTTGGTGTTTTGGCTCCAGCTCTCGGCTCTCTTCTCCAGGGACCCTCCTTCCCCAGGGAGGCACTGCTGGTCCACCACCATGTTAGCCATCTGGCTCTCCAGGGCCCCTCCCTCTTCAAGCATCTGCATACGGCAATAATCGGTCTGAGGGGCCAGAGCTTGCGGGAAAGAACCCGGCATGCCGTGGGGATGGGCGTGGGGGATGCTGCAGCCCCTCACACCCAGGAAGTGACCATAACCTTCGGATTGGACCGGCGACAGCGTGGGGTGGGAGGCGGGCGAGCTTCGGGAACCGTTGATGTAAGCCACGAGGGATGTAGGTGAAGTGCGTATGATGGAGTTGAAATCAATGCCCATGACATCCGACAGAGGCGACATGGAGAGGGCTCTCTTCTTAGCCCGTGACTGCCTGGGGCTTCCGGCATCACCTGTGAAAAGGTACGAGGGCAGCGAGGCAGAGGTGCTGGTGCCACCTGAGACGTTCGTACCGGACATGGACGTGCCGGGGAGAAGGCCGAGCAGCTCCGCTCCTTCGCTGGCCTGGGTGGAGCACTGAGGTGGACCCAGCGGAGGAAGCACGCGGTACCCGTACGACCAGTCATGTCGGCCGCTAAACATTGATTGCGTTTCAAACTGACTGAGGGTAGTGGATGCCAGGGATTCTCTGGACTGCAAGGATCTGAAACAGATTGTTGTTATCCACTTTAGTATCGCTCCGAAGGTTTAGTGAGCTCATTATCACATCATATTATTGATATTGCCCACCTGGCATCAGTGTGGGGAATCGGCACACTGTGTGGATGTGTTGGAGGATGTTGCTCTGCAGGCCTTGCAGTACGCTGTTGGCCTTTGACAATCGTCATGGGAATGCTGGTTACCGTCAGGTTAGCAGCGGCTGGCTGACCAAAGACTTCCATGGTAGGGCCAGAACCAGAGAAATCGCCTGGACACAAGCCCAAAAATCAATAAACAGAGAGTGTTATAGGTTACAGCACAGCAACAACTTTGATCCAAGTAGGTGTTAAAATAGAAGTAAACAACATAGTTAGGGAAAGACTTAATACATGATAAAAACAAATAAATCCAAGTAAATCTGCTTTAACTAAGGTTTACGCAGCAGATTGTGGAATTTCACTCACCAACCCGACACGTTCTGCTCTGTTAATCACTAATGAGCTTTTTGACTCCTTCCATTTTTACTCTGCAGAATTTTTAGGGACAAGCTTTATGCTTGGTTAATTATCAATAAATAAGGAACAAGACATTTCGCAAGAAGACGGTAAGGTTGTGAATAGCACAATGAGAATAAGTGAAGTATGAAGATGCGATTACAAACTTGGTTGTAGTTTATTATACAACATCACTAATTTTATAGGATGTGTCATCTATGTCTCTTAAGACGTATTCAGTTGCCTGCAGGTCAAACACTGAAACATCAATAGAATGTTTCGGAAATGATCGTTACACCTAAATTGTGCTCATACCTCCTTGGGTTGATTGGTTTTGTTGTTGTTTTACCTTTGAAGCAGCGTCCCGTCTGTATGGCGGTAGACACTTTTTCTGCGGACGAAACGCTCTGGTGCGTCCCGTTGGTCAACACCTGTCTACGGAGACTCAGGGCTGGAAGGACAACATGGCCTCCGCTCTGTTTCTCAGAGATAACGGAGTGAATGGCTCCTCTTTTCACTTTCCCCATGTCGGAGTAGGAACTAAATTTGGCCTGCTGTGGGGAAGCCATGGGTATTCTGATAGACGGGGACTGGTGACCTCTGATCATGCTTAATGATGGGGACACGCTGCAAGGAGACACCAGGAGCTGACAACCCTTTCCACTCATGGCTGAAACAAAGTCACCACCAGTTCTGAGCTCAGGAACTTTACTTTACATAGGATATTATAATCCACTGCTCATACCTAGGAAAGGATTAACAAAAAACATTTAACATACACATGAAGATTAAAATAAAGGGTACATTCCAGTGTTACATTTATATGGCGAATGTAATATCACACAAACAAACAATCTCAATTCTGTAGGAAACGGTCCCCTAACTGTGTCCACAAAAAAAGCATTTAGAAAAATAAGCCACCACAAAGTTGCTCCCATAAGAAAAAGTAATTCGTTATGACGGCACAGTCATGTGTTAACATGTTCCATGGTACCAGCACGAATCCAATATTCAACTCAAAGTTCTAAGGCCTATTCTACTTGGAATTTAATCTGAGAAATGCTTACCAGAAAAAGTAAAAAAAAAGATTCAGCCAAGGTCCCCGAAGTGTCATCGCCACGGCGCTTCACCTTTGCTGCCCGTCGCAGAGCCTTTTACCCAAAGTGACATGTCAGAAGTCCTCCGGTCCGCGGAGCCGCCGCCTGTTATCCGGATGACAGCTGACGGACCGCCGTGTTTCTCGGAGGTTTAAGTGGCGCGCCGAGCAGAGGAGTCGAGCCCCCCCGGAGGAATCGCTCAGTTTGAACCGCGTCGTCCCACCTCACTCTTCTGTTGTTTTCCAGGAACTTACTTTCTTTTAGCGGTCAACCCCTTCTTGCATTGACTTTCTTTTTTTTCTTTTTTCTTTATTTTGCGGGTCTCGTTGTTTGGACACGTGAGCGCGCGTTCCGCGATGCCACCGGGGTCCATAAATATTTTTTTATGCTCAATACCTTTCCAAGACGCCTTAAAACTGCATTTGTTGTCATATGAAGCACTTCTGTTGTGATAACCACAACGCTGTTTCAACGTGTTGCATATACAGAAATATGATATCTACATATAGAAATCTATGGAATTGTGTTTTAAAAAAAGGAGGCAAAACGCTGTCAATATGGTTTGAAATGCAACGTTTTCAGTTCATGAAAAACGGAGCCAATTCTTAATTCTTTAATTTCTATTGAGCATTTCTGTTGAACTGAACTGATGAACAGCGACTGAACACATTTAAATTTAAATTGCTCAGGCCATGAATGACTTTGGCCCTCATGACCTACATCTCCTCTTCCTCTACCCCTCCACCTCAGCGCAGACATTATTAGAGCCCTCTTCTTCTCCTGACTGCTGCTGAGTATTTGTTCTGTAGATTCTGCTCCTGCTCCAGGTTGCCATGGAAACCAGCATGTTTATTAGGGGACTGATGGTAGCTGTTCCTTGTGAACTTACATTGAAGAAGAACTGTGTTCCACAATCTATGTTAATGATGCTTATACAGACGACGTACACTAAATGCAAATGCATAGGTCAGCGGGAAATGGCGACCGCTGTGTCTTGAGTGATGGATTCAATTTGGTCTGATATTTCAGTCGGTTAGGTCAATCAGGTCTGCTATTTATTTAAAAAATATATATCTGTCAGCTTATTTGCTGATTAGAAATCCATTATTTTGTAATGGCAAAATCATTGATTATACATTTTACTATGGGCATTTTGTGATTAATTACTTGAGAATGTCAACTGAAATAAATTATGATATTGAATATAAAGTAGTAGTGACCTCTGGTGGGGTAACATTTAATTAATGTGCTCCCTGCCTGTGAAAGCAAATTAGTGTGGCTACATTCATGCATGTTTTCTGCTTCACTTCATAATTACTAATATTACTTTCCAGTGTTATATTATTAGAAAGACATGCATTTCCCCCCCCCCAAAAAAAATCAACAAAGATGTCTTGCAGAACTTTAGACTATTTCTGTACCCATCTGTTTTTGTGTTCCCTCAGTTGCCAGCAGGGGATACTATTAGTGCACCATTGGGGTGGCTGCACTGTGGAAACAGTAATTGTACCACTCTTTTTCAGACAGAGAAAAAAGAATAGGAAAAGGGCACGTAAAGATGTACGTGTGAGGCTTTTGGAGGTCACAATGATAAGACCGCCCTGTGTTTACAAAATACTCGACATCTTTCAGGGATTTCGCTCTCGCTTCAAGCTGTAATCCTTGCGTCCCGCTGTGAATTGGCGTCTCCTTCCCTTCGACTAAGTGAGTCACGGTGTTTTTCCAAATGTCAGAGTGGAAAAGCAGTTCCAAGAACAAAAAAAACACAGATCTACCAATCGCTATTCAACACTGGCACTTGGAGCAGAGCTTCCATGTATGTGCTCACGCCGAATAACAGTTTCCAACCTCGTCAAACGCAACCAAAGGCTTCTTCCCTGTAGTCCAAGGCCAGATGAGGTAAAAGTGTTGACCATTAGAGTAGTGCTCCATTCGTAGGAGAATTAATGCTCTAATAGACTCTCCACCACTTAAAGAATCCATTCCCCTCTCTTGATGACAGCAGCAGCACTCCTGGAAGTAGCAAAGCATTCATTCTGGTGTCATGAGGAGAAATCGTGTGTGATTTCTCTCTAACTTATATTACAATTGTCACTTAAGGTAATGCACGCCCCGGTGGACCTGTGATTAATTAATCTGCTTTTGATTTGCTAATGACAGTTCAAGTCAAACACAAGGTTAGTGAAGGCTGAGTCAATCCTTTTAAACTGCAGCTGCGGAGAGAACTACGGTGAGCGGGAGAAGATCTCAATTTATTGGTACCATCCCTCATTAAAACGGCTGCTATTAGCCCGTGACTCTTTGAGTACTTACTCACAGCGTATTACTGGAGTAGACAAATTCACGTAGGCATCCACGATTACACTAAAAGTTCTCCATTAACATAATATCCCTCATGTTGTGTTTTAGCCAATAGTGTAAAATTAATGTTTTGGTAAAAAGTCCAAGCTAACAGGACTATAAATAGCAGGCTTATAGAGGTGCAGCGCCCTCTTAAATGAGGTACAGTGCAGTGCCCATCCATCCATCTCCTGGGCTGGACCTCTACTGTCAGAAGCAACACCCAAGATGAAGATGAGTGTGAGAGAGATGGGCTTCTGAGCGTCTTCCATCCCGATCCATCAATCCTAGTGGACTTCTCTAATAACCTTTACAGAGAACTGATGTCTGATGGCAAAGAGGAAGGACAGGAGGAAACACAGATCTCCTCCAGCGGGCTTGATCTTTTTCCTCTTCCTGCTGTGTTTTTAACAGGATGACTCGAATAAAAGATCGGCGACACAGTGGCCCGCGTGTTCAGACGTTCTTAAGGCCGCGGGCTTGTTTTTAATTTGAGCTAATATTCGGGGTGAAGCCTGAGGGTTTGGGTGCTGTGAGCTCTCTTTTCCTTTTTGGATATTATTAAAACTGGAGGTAGGGAATCACATCAAGGGTGCTGAGGCCCAAGCGCTGGAATATATTCGCAGAACATAAACACAATGAGTGAATAGAGGCTCAGACAATAAAAGAGTGAACAGGAATTTAATTGAAGTAAACCAAAATTCAATCAGACCTGGTTTACTAAGTCAGAACGTGACGTGGCTTAGTGACAAAACTTAAGGCACAAGAATGACCCAACTTCATATGAGAATCCTAGAGTAAAACTTTTACTCATGTTTAAAACATTTATGCACATTTGAGACTTTTCACACGGACAAAAATAACGGACCTATCGATGATCTCAAATTGTGAAATCACAACAGATTTCAGTGCCGTGCTTCTCTTCGCTTCTGGACTAATGGAGAAAGTATTTTTTTAGGATCCTAGTTGCGCTTGAAGATGAAAGTATGGATTAACTCATCACCCGATTCTTCACATAACACAATTTAGTCCAAAAACTAAAAACAGTTCTTAGCTTAACTTGACTGGACGCCTCCACAACGTCAGTCGTCATAGCAATGTGTTACAGAAGAAGTACCGCTTCAGACGGACGGTTTTGAATTCCGCAGTGCCAGTGAAGTGGTGAGGGCTGACGGAGCACACGAGACAACCCAGAAAGTCCAGACAGAGGAGGGTGTGTCATTAGACCCCTGCCTGGAGCCCCTGGTCAGATCCCCCAACATCCGTCTTCATTAAAAAGGTTGCTCTCTGAGCAGATGGTCATTAACAACACCCCCCACACCCCAAACACACCCGTATTCCCGGCACCCTCCGTACACCAGGACACTACCTAGAGGACACCCATCTTCCCTCAGGAATTCCAGAAAACCTCACCTAAGAAGGAGCAGATGAGGAGGAAGAGGAGCTGGTGCCTGACAGGGCCACCTGGTAATGATCACTCTGGGGGTCCTCGTAAATCTCAAAACATCACATGAAGTACGGAGATGCAGCCCATGCTGCAGTATAATCAATAAGTGGAATCCCGTGGCATGAAATAGAGGCGGTCAAGTGAGTAATATCATCAGTGCTTTGCTGCTCTGTGTAGTCTTTTCAATTCAAGTGTTTTCATCCCTGTGCCTTTCATGCGGCGGGCATATCAATGTTGCGCTGACATTCAGACAGATGTGGCGGGGGATTCACGAGGACGTAGTCGGGCTTTGAGGTTGATAACCGCGATCACCTTCTGCTCATTGCAGCAAGACTCTACGAAGGAAGGCTTGCTTTATTAACCCGAACCAAAAATATCACCTCTTTCTCTTTTCACTAATGTATAAAAAGGTCACGCCCATGCAAATCGGCATTAATCAGAGCTAGAGGTCACAGGTTGTCACCTGTGATTTGTTAAGTTGTAACTCCGTTGTCCAATATAGGTAACTTCAATGTTATCTACGTTTAAGTCGAGCCTCTTCATCGGTATCTCCAGCGACAGCCGCCGCGGATCCCAATTATAAGAATGATCACTCCCGAGCCGAGAGCACGGTTTCAGACAGAGTAAAGTATTATTCATCTTCATCATATTCATTATCGGGCAGCAGAAGCAGGTGGCATGGCCTCCCGCTGCTCCACACCATTAGCGCCCGATAGACGGTGGGATTGTGGAGCCTTTGCTCCTCTGAAGACGCCCACATACGGCAAGAAAGAAAACGCAATTTAAACAAGTTGTAGAAATCTGCATAGCATTTTGTAAAGGTTCTCCTGCTCATCAACAACATCAGGCAGCAAGGGTGTCGTGTTCCCAGTCCGTGCGCGGTCAAAGGTCACACAGCAGGGGGTTCACAGCACATCACCCCCCCCCCGACTTACCTCTGTCTCTCTAACGAGGAGGTTCGGTTTGACGGATATATAGTGTCTCTGTTTCAGGTTGCGTAAAGACAAAAAGGTGACGTGGAACAGTGGCGTGTTAGTGACCCTCGCATCCAACCCATAGTGACGTGGACATGTGGGGGCGAAGGGACCTGTAAATGCCACATTCTCATATTGTGCGGACTGGCGGGGTTGCTGTGCGGAAGTCGCAGCGTAACTGGCAGAAATCACCTCATTAGCCTGTTCTCTGATGGGTTATTGTGGCACCAGGCGGACACCCCGTTCCCATGAAAGCTCACGAGATTTCAAAATTGTAAAATGCTTTTGGGTGGGATCGTTTTCGTATCCTCTGGCACCTGGTCGGGGTCATTCTATTAGGTGGATTGATTTACATATAAATTGAACATGCAGCATTAGGAACCTCCTTAAACTCATCCGTTTCACCAGTGCAGCCCATCGTCTGCCCTGCATACTTCAACAAGCATTTAATTTCCTCTTCCACATTGTCTTATGTTTCATTATGATTCAGTGTTATTTTTTTCAAATTAATTTAGCTAATAACGCCCACATTCGCTGCCCCTTTCCCAGCAATGCACCTGTTCTAATGTGTTCTGAGCGACTGTGTGTCCTGAGGTAAAATGGGAAATGTTGAAAATTCACTGGAATATGAAAAGCAATCATATTTTCTGTATCAGTAAGCAGGTCTGTGGTAGCTGGGGGTCATTCTTGCACGCTGCTGTTGCTTGGGGAGACATTTTGTAAGAGCCCCCGAGGCTCACCCAGTTAATTAAGTTTTTCTGCTATTAGAACGATGTAACTTGAGATTTTACTGCTCCGAAAAGGCCATTTCTTTACTACCGTTGGGGGGTTTGATAGACGTTACTCCTCCTCTGTATCGTGCCTATGGAATACATCTCCACCAAAAAAATATCACGTCACTACTACATCACTACTATTTTCATATGACTCTTAATTGAGTGGAAATGATGAGATGGTTTGTGGATTAGACCATGAATAGCAACAGCGTTTTCTACCAGAAATGCAAAGTTAAGAAAAAGAGTCTGAAGAACGTGAGGGAAACTTGGCTGAGCACGTGATCCGTGCAGTGGCGTTGTCTTGGTGATGTGAATTTTGAATGCAATGAAGAGGTGGAAAGGATGATCCAGATATAGAAAAGTGTGGGTGTGTGAATGTGACTTAATCCACTGCAAAGAAATAAATGAAGCGCTAACATTTGCTAGGTGAGGGAGAAAAAAAAGAGTAAAAATACTAATTGAGAAAACTATGTGTAAACATTTAGCAGTAATATTCTGATGCACTATTTTTCAACTTTATATCT